ATCTCAAGACAGTTTGCAGCACTCTTTCTTCCTCAGTGCTGAGCCTTCTTGGACCAGCAACTATCTTCAGTGTTAAATTTTGCAATGTTTATTCAAAGCATGAGAAGCCCCTGTTGCTATGTAGGCTGTAATCTCGAGCTTCCAGCAGCTAGGTAAAACTACATCTTTTCAGTTTTGGCTCTCTGACAGTGAATTTCCTCATAAACATATTGCCTGTCAACAAAATTTTGTAGATAAAGTGCAGTTGTCTTTAAAAGTTACCAGCCTATGCAGAAATATGGTTCTGCACTGTTTTTTTTGTGATAGAGAACGTCTTAAATTGCCAGTTAGGTGTTGCATAGTGTGTCCTCAGTCTTGTATTTATCGAGAAATAGCTGTTAACCTCCCATGATTCCCGAAGTACAGGCCTGAGAGAATTTATACAGATGAGGTCTGAACCAAATCCTGTGCTTTGCAAGCAACCTCAGCCTGTCATTTCACATTTCAGCTGGTGAAGTGTCTGCGCCTGTCATCTTAAAATGGCTCTTTTAATGTAGGTTTGTCGTTTCTTTATTCTTCTGCCGTTCAGAAGCAGCAGAAGCTGAATGTGATCCTGAACATAACGTGGTGTTTCCATGAGTGGTAAATTGCTCCCAGTCAAACTGTTTCAGTCTTATCTTTTCAAAATAATTTGGCTTAATATTGCATCACAGTGCTGTAGTTCTGTGTGCTAGGATCTGATTGCTCTCTGCCTTTGGGGAAAGAGAGCTCCTCCACCTCTCATCTCCCAGATTGCTTTTCCTCATTTCTGTTTGCAAAAGCATAATTAAAAATGTTCCCTACATTCAGAAGTAATAAATTTTAAAATCATCTATTTTCATGTTTTAAGCAGAGAAAAAACTGCAGGAAGATGAAATATTGTATAAAAAGTGGCATCTGGCTGCAAAGAGGTGTCACACATAAAGCTGTTGCCCTACTTACTTGTTTCATTGGTTGAAAGTTATAATTATGGCTTTTTTTCTGACTAGTGACATGTTAAGTACTCAAAATGTCAGGTCAAAGGTCAGGGGCTGATGTTTTAACTAAAAATAACTCTAAAGGTGTAGTATATATCTGAGAAAGAACTTGAGTGGCATCACTTTTGTTTTCTGGGGATTTTTTCCTTTGTCTTGGTCTTTCAAATTTTGTTTTGTTTTTAGCACAGCCTGATTATGAAAATTTCATTTGACATAAACAGAGGCTATACCTGCTTATACCAAATAATAATAAAAAAAATTCTCACTACATTTCATACACCATCCAAGGGCCTTTGATGCTGGTCTACTTGTTATTTTCCTTTTAAGTGTGGTGGGGTTTTTTCCTTTAAAGTTTTATGCTGTTGAAGAGCTTTGTGCTGAGCTGGCACAGCTGCCTGGCAGGACCACTGCACCTCCTCCAGGACTGAATGTGGCATGTTGTCCCTAAGCCAAGCCTTGCCTGGGGCTGTGGCGGTCAGAGCCCGTCCCCTGCTGCTCTTGGGTTGTGTGACACTGCCCTTCCCCTGCCCGGTGTGATCTGGGGCTGTTGTTGTGTTTTCCTTTCTCTCTGGCAAGAAGCACAATGATAATATGCTAGAGGATGGGCTCTGCAGTGCGTTAAGGCAGAACAATGGATTAATGTACTGGGGGAGACAAGAGCAGCCCTGAGCGTGGATGGAGTGCTGCAGAACTGAGGAGCCTTTGTTTGCCCTGGTGGCTGCTGCAGACACAAAGTCCCTGCAGGAGGGACAGCAGCGATGCTTGCAGCTCACACAGAGCAAACCCTCTCTTCTCTAGGCCAGTGAATGCAATGTGGATGTGTGTATGTGCTTAGGAATGGAATAATGGATCCCTTATTCCTGGCACATGAGTCTGTGAAAAGGAGAAGTCTTCATATCTTATGACATGGGGGAAGGAAACTCTGCTAATTAGCAGCAGTATTGTTAAGGAGAAATCATTTCAAACTCATTTTTTCATTACTGTCTTTGTAAAAGTGGAACTCCTGGTAAAAGACTAAGGAGTGCAAAGCCAGTGTGTGTTTTCCATGTTCCCACACGTGTCCTTCAGGAATGTGACAGAATGAGACACCTTTATTTCCATGTCTTTTCTTGGCAAAACAGCTTGGTTTTTATTGACAGTTTTGTCAGAAGTCTGTGTGAGTTTGCATTCCTTGGTTTTCTGAAAGCTTTTTGTACTTTGGGAACTAAAAAATGTAAACCATCAGAGGATCCATTTCACAGAGCTTTCTCAGTCTTCATATATTTAATGATATTTAATACATGAAACAGCTGGTGATCTACAAATGACAAGCTTGTTATGTTGTTGCCTATCTCCTGTGTTAGGCAGTCCCTGCAATCAGACCAGAAGTTTCATATTTTCAAATGGCATGGGGTTTTCTTTTTTGTATTTCAAAGAGCACAGGAGGAAAATAGAGAGAATGGTGCCAATCCTATGAAGAAGTGGTTGGTTTTGACTCACTGAAGGAACTGTCTGTGGGAGAGGAAAATTGTTTGTTACCAGTTGTCCCATTTAGACGTGCATTTTTAGGCATTTACTTGGATTTCTCCTGCGTCCTGCTGCTGCTCTATTTGAGCAGGAGGATCCATAAAACTCCTGCAGTTTCCTGAGCCACAGGCTCTCTCCCACACACCTCTGTCTACCAGGAGTGAACTCTGCGAGGGGGAACGGCAAAGAAACAAGAGTGTTTCTTCTTCATTTTCCAGCTGGAAATCTTTCTTTTTCCTGCAAGCCATCCCAGGCACACAGACCTCCCTGCAGATCCTGCAGAGAGGCTTGATGGCCACTGTCACACGAGGTCTCACCAGAGGGAGGGATGATCCCTGTGGCCAAGGCTGGCGTCTGGCAGTGGGTCTGTGTGACCTGCACTGCACAGCCTGGGTTACTCTTCTGCCTTCCCCTGACTGACAGCTTGGTGTGCCTGAATGTGAGAGCTGTGAGAGCTGTAGTCATTCACACCTACTGCATGTGTTACATGGAAGTTGAGAACATAAAATTAGGTTGCTTTGATCTTCTTAACACATTGCTATTAAATTAAAATCAGCGCTCAGCCATTCCAAATAAATTCTTTTTGCCAAAATGTGGAATATCTGCCTCAACTGGTACTTTAATTTGTTAGACAGATACTGCCTTGGCTCTCCCAGGGATGGGTGACAGAGGCTCCTCCAGCCTGTGGCTGTGAGCAGCACAAAGTGGTGCTGGAGCTGTGCTCTTATCTGAGAGCTTGGCGTTGTTCTTGCAGAATGAGACCTTGAGATTTGCAGGTCTGTAAATAATCGTTACCCAGAGCCTGTGCCCACAGGTGATTAACTGGGCCTAACTCAGCATTTATTGTGGGAACTTGTCCAGTTTATAGTGCCCCCATATCTGTGGGACTTAAATTGGCTTGCTTAGACTGCAGAGGTCAGCGGGTGTGGGTGATATTAGTGGTGCTGCCCACAGAGCCCAGCCCTGCCCGGGGAGAGCAGCTGGTCAGCAGCTCCATCATCAGCAAAGCAGGGCAAGACCAAATGGGTGTGATGAGAATGGTGCTCAAGCCCAGGGTGGGGGACAGAGCTGGTCACTGTCCTTCTGTCAGGTGGGAATGCCTGGCCAGGCACCCAGGGTGCCTGAGGTACCTCTGGGGTTGTCACAAGATGGACAGCATCCTGGGAGAGAGGAAGAGAGGAGGAGGAGGAGGAGCTCTTGCCTCTGGGGCCATGGTGCATTGGAGGTCATGCTGAGGGACATGCACACAGTCCTGTCCATCTGGGGCTGGTTCTGTGTTGGGATACCAACGTGCTCCTAGGCATGACACCTAACACCAAGGTGAGGCAAAATCACCAGCTTTTGGCTAAGGTGGACAGGCCAAACACAGAGAAGAACTCATGTAATTTATACATGTTTGGTAAATAGCTTCATTGTTTCAGCAGCAGGGATTTTTCTATCATCCCAGAAACAGAATCCAGATCTTCTGCCAGGCCTTTAGGCTACAGAAACCATAGGTAGCTTTTCCATGCATATGTCTTTGATTTCCCTGCACAGCAGTTCCTGATGCCACTGGCAGGCCCTGCAGACTGTCACTGAGGTGCCTGAAATGTCATTCACAGCTCCTGTGCTGCAAGGACAGCCTGGTCTGTACCTTGGCTGTGCTCTCTGTGTTCCAGACCCAGCTCTGTAAAGCTTTGGGGGAAACTTTTATTTCTCCTTTTGCTTCCTTTCGTGTTAGTATGTAAAATAGGATTAAGCTTACCCAACTCATAGAAATACTTCAAAATACTTTTTTTTAAAACTTAATTTGCTTTGAAAATGTGAAAGCTTTATAAAGCACATATGGTCTTTATCTGAAAAGTTTCAGGCTCTATTAATGTTAATTTCTGTGTTATTTTGTAGTGTGTTGTTTACTCATATAGTTGGCTTTATATACCGAGTTCTCTGTGTGTTGAGAGAAAATTGTTTTAGGACCAAATGGAAATTATTCTTTTTTACAAGAGAAGAATTTTTTCCACAACAAAGGGACTGTCTTCACTCTAGAGCTGCTACCTCTGTCCTGAACAGCCATGCTTGAATTTTTCAGATTCAGAATAATTCTGGGACAAGCTGGTGATTAGAGCAGAGGGACGAAAGGTTTCTGTGGCTGACTCTGCTGTTGATTTTGCCCTCTGTAAGATGGCATTCGTGATCTTTACTAATGGCCACAGACTCTGGGTGGAAGTAGCTGCAGAAGCATGCAGTGCATAGCGGTAGGAGATCCTTGGCTGTAGCCAGGCTCCCTGAGCAGCTCTGCTGGCTGGCTGGCCTGCCCAGCAGCGCCCATCCTGGAGGAGCATCCTGCTGGCAGGATCCGGCCGGGCGGCGCGGTAGCCGAGCGCCTCGTGTGTGCCGCCTGCACTCACCTTGTGCTGAGCTGATGACATCCAGCGTGGAGGGGCGGCTGCCGAGCTGGGGACACAGGAAAGAAGTGTCCTTGAGAGAACAGCTGGGGATTCACGTGTGTTTGTGTTTCAGAGATGAGAGAAACCAGTCCATCATTGTCAGTGGGGAGTCTGGAGCTGGAAAGACTGTCTCTGCTAAGTATGCCATGAGGTACTTTGCCACCGTCAGTGGATCTGCCAGTGAAGCCAATGTTGAGGAGAAGGTCTTGGCCTCCAACCCCATCATGGAGGTAAGAGAGCTGCTGCACCAAAACCCATCCTCCAGCTGCAGTCATTACTGGGACAAACATTCAACAGAGGCAGCCATCCACGCTTCCTAAAAACATTTATAAATATACATTAAAATTTTGTGTTCAATCCATTTACAAGGAGTTGCTCTAGGCATCATTTATGAGAGACTGAGAGAAGATGGGAGCTAACGTTACAATATTGTTAATGTATTTCACATAAAGTAATTCTAATGTGAATACTGCTTTAAGTCTCTTCAGCTTTGTTACTGGTAGTTCCCAGACTGCTGGCCAAGTGCAATTGAAGAAGACTGGATTTGTGTGTATCCAAAGAGGATAAAACTGTTGGTCTTACCCACCAAATATTGTGCAGTAGAAGAGAGACTGAGGAAACAAAGGTGCATGGGATGCACACCATTTCTTTCAGAGGAAAAAAACATATCAGAAGACATAGTATTGCTATAATTAGCTCAGACTCATGTTTCAGTTCTGGAAATTGTTGTAACCAACTATAGTCAAGTCCCAAGGCTTTGGGGTGCAGGTGCTGGTAATAGACTTTGAGAGGACATGTACAATTCCTCCTGCTTCAGGGTCTCTGTTCTCTGGGAAGCTCATGACATAATTCTGATGTCACAGCCAAGCAGAAAAGATTTCTTAGACATATCTGAATTGTTTCTGATGTCTTTGCCTACATATATAGATTCAAGTTGTGGCTGAGGTTAAGGAACTATGTCAGGAAATGATTCATCAGAGAGAAAGTCTTGGGGGAATTTCTGGAGGGAAGTAACCCTGTCCATAGGCACACATGTACTTATGCCTTGGTAGATGTTGAACATCTCTCTGCCGAGTGAAAGATCATGAGGAAATAGGGTGCATGCAGTGAAATGTGAAATGCAAAATGCTGCCATTGTTTTTTTCCTCAGGTATTTTAAAAAATGAACTGTGTTTTATTCCTCCTTTCCTCCTGGCATGAGGAGTTCATGATACCCAAACTATAGCTGCCCCATCACAGTTGTGTGTGTCTGTGACAAGGTAATTGTGCTTGGTTTGTGGTGCTGTGTGCTGTTTGGAAATTTCTTCTGTGGGGTGAAACAAGCTGTGCTGTGCTGGGCAGTGACTCATCAAATGTCCAGCCTTGGGAGCAAGCCCAGGAGCTGCGCCTTGCCTGGAGCTGCAGCTGCCCCGGCGAGCAGGGGCAGGGGTGCAGGCTGAGCCCCAGGGAACACCTTGCAGTGCTGCAGTGCTTGCAGGAGGGGCCACGTCCCACCCAGACCCCCGAGTGTGGCTGATGGGAGCAGTGCTGAGCCCTGGCAGCCCTGCCCTGGCAGCAGGACCGTGGCACAGGAGTGCTGCCATCAGCCTGCCAGTGGCAGCCTGCTGAGAGGCTCTCAGGACAGAGGCACTCAGGACAGCTCTCAGGACAGAGGCTCTCAGGACAGCTCTCAGGCTGGGCCTGGGTGTTTGCCTGGTGAAACACAAACTCTGCAGCTTTCCCTGCACCACTTCTTCTGTTTATCTCGAAGCCTAAAGCAAACATGCTGCTCTCAGTCCTTGGGCCCAACCTCCCAGGCAGTGGCCATCAGCTCACCACTAATTGGCTGAATTAATTTCCAAAAGCAAGGAGGTTTAAATTGAGGACCAAAAGAGCTTCCCATCTATACCTTTTTTCATTCACTGAAAATCAGTGGTGGTGCTTTATTTTTATTTTCTATTTTTTTATTTTGTGAACGTGGGTATATCTAAATATATATTTCAGTTGCCTTAAAGATTATTATAATTGGATGTAAGTTATCTTTTTAACTTCCAACACTTGAACTTTAAGTTACCTTTAGATTGAGTGTTGTAAAATTTGATGTTGAGACAGACTCTTATGATAGCATAATTAATGTTTTGAATTCTTCAGTTGATTAATCAGTAGAAACACAAATTAACCCATATATTTGAGGAAGAAAATGAGTAGTTCATTTTAGAAATTGGAAACTCCTCATTAGCTGAGCTGACTGTAAAACCTTAGGAGTAGAAGGTAATTTAATTCTTAAATTTCTGTTTGGACAACCTAAACATTGGTGTTTTATGAGCTACCATCACATTATCTTAGCCTACTAAATACTCAGTAATGTCAAGAGATAACTGTACATTTTTGGCAACTATTTAAGTGACTACTTTTGTAGTCAATAACTATATACAGTTTTCCTATTGCAAATGTGGAAATCAGTAAGTCTTAAAACATGTTTATTTGTCATTTCCTGCCTCTCATTCTTTGTTACCCTCTATAGCTATGCAAATAGCACAGCTTTGTATGTATTCAGGCAAGCAATCTGATAATCCCAAAGATTTTCTGTTTTTATCAGTAATACCTTTCAAAGGAATAATTGGTTTCTGAAATATCATAGTATTGTATTGCTACCACCAACAACCAAGTATATCACAGTAGCAATCATTTTCTTCTTTCAAAAAAATGCAAGGGTGCAGTTAGAGTACATTCAGTTTGAATGAATTTGGTGTTTCTTAGAAGTGCAGAGGTGCAGTTTGTTCCTAGATCCTTTGCAGCAGCTGTCCATCTGATGCCCACTTGGACATCTGCTGTTGGGTGTACGTGCTGCTGCTGCTCTCCTGGGGTTTCTGGCAGTCTAATCCCACTGGCCAGGCTGTACCAGCTGGCACTGACCCATTCATGGCCTTCTGCTTGCAGATTTGGGATACTCAGCACTGCTGCTTGCTCTCATTTGTTTTTCTCAAGTTTATTTCAGTACAGAGTTCCAGTGGATGGCTGTGTGGACTGGGAAATTTGGGCACAGATGCAGTGGTGCACTTAGGGCTTAGTAACACACACACAGTGATGAGGGGCACTTGCTGCATCTCAGATATTCCAAATGCCATTCCTTTTGATACAGAGATACCTTTAGGAATGTTTTAGAAGGTGAGTTGCTGTATGATGTCTAAAACATGGTCTGATTGAGAAGAGAAAATGCTTTTGTTTGGAGTTCAGCGTGTTTTGATTTGCATGCCCTGATTCTGATGTGTCCAGCTGGTACCTGTTGTTGTGAATCCTAAGGCTGAGGAGGTAAGGCAGGATTGCACCATGGAGGATCCACAGTCAGTATTTGCCCCGGGCATCCCAGGACATGTAATACAGAGGGAATGCACAAGGTATTGTTTGTTGTGTGTGGAGCTGTATTGAATTAATCTGAGAAAGTTCAGCATCCAGGGCTGTCTCTGAGGCAGTAACCAGGCTGCTGTGGAAGAGGTTCAGTTTCACATGACATGAGCCTGTGCATATTGATTTTTAGATTAGGCTTAGGCACACAGTAAATATTTTTAAATGCTATGTTTGCAGAAATAGTTTGGAAATGTGATGATTAGAGAGTAATAGTAATGATAAACTGTTAGCCAGGCAGAACAGAGTGGGCTGTGGGTTTATAATAGGTAGACTTGCAAAAGTTGCAAGTACTATAGGTGTATGTGTACACCTACACATATAAATATATCCAGGTGAAATAATTCTTACAGTTTTACTAAGTCTTTGCAAGAAATCTCTGTGTATGTGAGCTTTCTGTTAGACTCTTTATTTCCTTTTGAATGACTTCAAAGAACAATAAAGGATTTTTAGCTGTAAAATCAGACTATGTGGAAGTGAAATAATTGCTAGGAGTATCAGCTCCCAGTCTTGCATTAATGAAATAACTGTATTTTGATGTAACTTGTTGACCAGGCAGAGACTGTTCTTCATTAGATTTTTGACTATTTTTAAACCAGGACACGATTAATGTTGTTAAGTGTTTATCAGCCATGTAGCTGATTAAATAGATGTGATAATTTCTACAAGCTGTTTAACCTTTACAATATTCCCTTTTTCCAGTCGATTGGAAATGCCAAAACCACCAGGAATGACAACAGCAGTCGCTTTGGCAAATACATTGAAATTGGTTTTGATAAGAGGTATCGAATCATTGGTGCTAACATGAGAACTTACCTCTTGGAAAAGTCAAGAGTGGTGTTTCAGGTAAATCTGATGTCATCTCTTCATTTTGTTGTGCCATACTTGAACCAATCCAGTGCCCCACACTCCTCTCCATCTTTGCATGCCTCGTAGTCTAGAGCTCAGTAAAAATGGACTTGTCCTTGACTGGCTGCCTAAAGATATAAAAATAATAATTATGGTTTGTACCATGTGGAGATGTTACATGAAGAGCTGCTGTATATTTTAGAAGTAAGAGACAGTTATAGCACATGGTTTAGCTGTAAGAGAATATTTTTCATTTCTTTTTGGTTTGAAGGTATGGAATTTAGAGTGCTTAAGTTCAGAATTACGGTGTTGGTCGTGAGTCATCACCTTCTGAGCTGTGTTTGTCCTTCATTTTAAAATTCAAGCTTTGCCTTGGCAAGGAAGGTACTCCTTTTACCAGATTACTATAAACTCTGAGGCAAATAGTGTTAGTTATTTTTGGAAAATGAAAAACTTCTGAGTATGACCATTTCACTCACCTACAGAATCCTGATCTGTAATTAATAGTAATCTACAGTTCTGAAAAGTGAAACCATACTTTTTTTTTTTTAAATGAAAATGTCTGCATGCTTCTTGCTGTTGAAAATGGATTACATTAACCAAGAAGGAAGAGAGATGCTGATTTATCTTCCTTTTTTCCATGTGGTTTCTCTGCTCTTAATGTATTGCTAGAGAAAGCATTTTACATAGTAATTAATTTCTGCTCGTGGTTGTTTCTGCCACTTGTTAAGTGGTGAAAAATAACAAATTCCTTTCTTTTTAAAGGCAGAAGAGGAGAGAAATTACCACATCTTTTACCAGCTTTGTGCCTCTGCAGCATTGCCCGAGTTTAAAACTCTACGATTAGGTATGACATTCACATTCACTGTGTTGTGTGACTTAAGGACAGCAGCATCTCTGAGCTTTTTGAGCCAAAGAGCCAACAGAAGAACTGATGGCTTTTAAATACTACATTTTTAAACCTTTAAGTACTAAAATATATTGAGAATAACTAAAATGATAGACCTTGGACATTGTGGTTTTCTGATAAAACAAAGATTTGTTTATTCAGCAGACTCTAATACACTGCAGTTGCAATCAATAGGACTTACTGTGTCCTGGAGGGTGAAATTCTTTTCCCTTAGTTCTTTAAAACCTTTTTTCCATTGTTCCAGCCACTGGAGAATTTTACCCTTTCTGGTATAAGTGTCTGAAAAGCTTATTTTGCATCTGCCTCCTTTTACTTGGGCTGTTAGCAACAATTACTTTACAATCTCTGCTAACCTGATGATCAAAAAGCAGATGAGGGAATCTTTTCTTTTATCAAATTAAAATGTTGATAGGAGAAAGGTTTCTCATTTGACAGGAGTTGGTGCTTTGTGAAAGAAAAGCATGATGACCTTAGACAATCAAGTCATCATTTTAAAAGTTCAGTATAAATTGCAGTGCTTCAGTGTATTTTTAAAAGTCAATTTCATATTAGGAAAACTGCACAGCCTGTGCTGATTTCTGAAATACTGTTCTGGTTTTAGGGTGTTTCTCTGCTCTTCTGCACCACCCTGGCACATTTAGGATTCACATCTGCTAACACAGGAAAGAAAGGAGCTGATGTAATTATAACTGAAGAAGCCATTTAGCAGACTTCTCTTTCAGCATTCTTGGAACCTTAGCAGATCAGAAGAAAAGGAGTCTGTTAGTGCAGCTGGAAGCATGGCCAGTGACACCATAGGAATTCACCCAGGAGAGCTGCAGGTCTCCCAGTGGAGCCCAGTGCTGTCCCCAGGGCATGTGAAGCTCTCTCGTCTCCACTCGGCTTCCCAGCCTGAGTGGAGCACAGATACTCATGAGGCTGAGCCAGACCATAAATTAGAAAAGAGAAGAAAATGGGCAAAATATAATATCCTGATGTAGGAATAGCATGGTAATATCTGTCACATAATTCCAAAGTGCTGCTGCTCTCAACTCTGCAGCTACTCTGTAGGTGGTTGGCTCAGGTTTGGAGAGCAACTGCTTCCAAAGTGATTATTCCACAATAATGCAAGTCTGAACCAAGGTTAGGTAGAGAAAATGCTTGAGGACCTACTGTGGGAACCAGGTAGCTTAAAGAATACTTACTTGCACAGTTAAATCTTGAAAAAAAATGCTCTTTAGAATAAGTGGGTCTTAGGAGCCAGAAGGTGAAAATGTACGTGTGTCAGATCATGGATTCTGCCAAGAGCAACTTAATCGTGACACAGCTTTACAGATGTGCTGTGAATTTCTGCATCAATGTGTGTAAAATATGCTTTTTTTTGTTATTACAGAGAATGCAAATTACTTTCACTATACGAAGCAAGGTGGAAGCCCTGTGATTGATGGTGTTGATGATGCTAAGGAAATGGTGAACACCAGGCAGGCCTGCACTTTGCTAGGTAATTGGTAAATCACAGTCATATCCTAAATCTGATACACTAACAAGTGTTTTCTGTATTATTTGTGTGTATTATTTTCATACTCTGTTGTGTTTAAAACCAGGAGATAGTTTAGTTTGATAAACTTTGGGACTGAGATACTTGTGTTGCATGGAGAAGATATTTAAATTGTAGCAGAATTATAAATCTTAAGAGGAGGGCACATTATGTGAACATAAGTGGTGGATTCCCTTGGTGTAACACATACAGTGCTGGAGGTCACTGGCAAAGCACTTTGAAACAGCAAATTAAATGATTCATTTTAATGGATTTTTGTCTCATCTGGTTGTAAAACGTTTTTGATAGAAGTGGAGCCAATTAGTACTGTCAAATGTCAAAGTCACACACAGCAGTCGCTGTTCTTCTCTCCTTAACAAATTTTCATCAACTGCAGCTCTCCATTCAAAACATTTTATTCATCCTTTTCCAGGGATTAGTGATTCCTACCAGATGGGAATTTTTCGAATCCTTGCTGGCATCCTTCACTTGGGCAACGTGGAGTTTGCATCTCGGGATTCTGACAGCTGCACTGTTCCTGTGAGTAGCAGATGAGCTGAAGGTTTGAACTCTGACAGGTCTGCCTTCTGCTTGTTTGCAGGGACCTCTTCTGAAAAAGAGTGAAATGGAAATGGGTTTATTTCTAATTTGCTAACATTTTCACAGTTTTTTGCAGATGGGTTCAACTCTTCTCAGTTCAGAGGCTTTAGACAGTGCTCTCTGTATTATAACACTGGTATACAATTATAGCTGTAATTGATCTGTCCTAGAAAAGTCTAGTAGGCAGGCAAGCTTTGAAGTCTTGAGCAGGTGTCTAGATCTTTATATTCCTGCATGAATATCTTCCCTGCACACAGTAAATGCTTTGCCAGATGGGGTTTTTCTGGTATGAAGTGCTAGAATGCTCTAAATAATTGCAAAATAAATGCATCTGGGATGCTTAGACATGAGCATAGGATATACAGATATGATTTGTATGACTCATCTAAGTGTCATGGTTTTATCAGTTCTTTTTTGCCTTGGAGATCAATAACAAGGACGGAATAGTCTCATCTGAAAAACCCTTCTCATTGGTGAGGGCCCAGGCTTTTTTACCCATATTCTGGAGATGAGAAACAAAACGGTGCTGTCTGGTCTCTTCTTTGGATTCAGTGACCAGCTTCTCCTTCTGCCTCTCTTTGCGTCTACTGCTGGCCTGCCCAGCTGTCAACTTTCTCTCTTTTGCAATAGCAGCAACACTTCCAGAGTATTTTTCTTTTCCCACTGTCAGTCCCTTTCTCAGGAATCTGCAGTGGCAGTTTCTGGAGCTGAGACACAGGTCCTTCATGGGGCCAGATGTGACTGGTGTTCCTGTCCTGACACCACCTGCCCGTGGGGTCTAACAGCTGCTTTGAAACCACAGCAGTAGTCTGGCTCCTTGGTGGCTTATAAAGATTTTCACTACAAAGAAAGCTCATTTAATGATAACAGGTAGAAAGTTGATGAACCCCAGGACATGAGGAACTTGCCTGTGTTGTGATGAGCACCTCCAGTGCAGGAATCCCGCTGGCTGAGCTGGTAAAAGGCTGCAGGTTCCTGTGCAGCCCTGTCCTGGCCTGACAACACCTGGCAGGCAGTGGTGGATGTGTGCTCAGCAGCACCATTACCTGGGCTGTGCTGTTCTCTGGCAGTGCCGCGTCACCCCAGAGCTCTGGCCATGCCCACTACTCTGCTGTGATGGAGCAGGGGTGCTGCAGAGTGCTCAGCAAAGGGCTCCCTATGCTGCTGTGGCAATAAATCAGTTTGTTTAATGTCAGCTGGAGCAACCCTAATGTGGCACTCTTCTGTGCAGTGTTCATAAGTATTATTACTTTATTATTGTCTTCCAAGCCTGTAAAACATGCTCAGTTAATTGGATTTTGGAGGTGTAGCTGCATGGGGCCTGTATGCTGTAAGAACTAGAAAAAGCCCCAGAGAAGTCACAAGGATGTGGAAATATTTAAAGCTGATGTACCCTGAAGCTGTAGGACGTGTGGTGACAGTCCTCTGCCACCTGTCCTTGTCAAGACCGTGCTTGTCAGTGTGCTGCTGAGCCACCAGGTGCGGTGGGAGCGGGATGAGGAAGTGCTGTTAGGGGAGCTCTGAGGAGGAAAGACCTGTCTGTCCTCCTTGATTTCTAGTGATCAGTTTGCATGTTAGTCACTAAGTGTGGTATCTTATTGAGTGGTAAATGCACTGCCCTGATCTTTGTGCAGAAGCCTTATGTACCCATCTCAACATGCAAGCCTCGCTGGTTGATTTTACCCAGTTAAACAAAGCTCAGTTTTTTTCTCTTGTACAGTTCAATTTGAGAGCTACAGAACATCATTAGTGTGCTGCAATCTCTTAGTGTTTGTCTCCAGAATTCACTGAGAAAACATTTTAAGAACTGAGACCAGAGCACTGAAGCCCTTCCACACTTTTCTCGTGGCTCAGGCTGCGTTGCCTCCTTGGCCATCACTCCCTGCCACAGCTGTGTGTGAGCAGTCAAGAGCCCCTCTCAGGAGCTCTGTCCATTTGGCCTGACACAGGTGTAAGAATGCAATATACAAGTCCACCAGAGAAGCCAGATGATTCATTTTTCTGAAGGTTGCAGGTTCCCTGTGTGTGAAGCCTTTTGGTGAACGCGTATAGTACAATAAATGCCTTTGAGGAAGATTATTCACTATATCACTTCAGCAATGTGAATGTGCTAAGTGGGTAGGGAACATGCAACGTTTTGAAGGAGGAAGAGCTGAGGAAGCTGCTGGTGCTGCTTATTGTGGGATAACTGCAGGCAGGCAGTTCTGTTGGCATGATTGTATATTTGCTGCGGGTAATACTGTTTCAATATCTAACAAGCCTGTTTTTATTAGCCCAAGCATGAGCCCCTCACCATCTTCTGTGACCTCATGGGTGTGGAGTACGAGGAGATGGCCCACTGGCTTTGCCATAGGAAGCTCGCCACTGCCACTGAAACTTACATCAAGCCAATTTCCAAACTTCACGCCATCAATGCCAGAGATGCACTTGCCAAACATATCTATGCTAACCTCTTCAACTGGATTGTAGATCATGTGAACAAAGCCCTTCATGCCACTGTCAAACAGCATTCTTTCATTGGGGTGTTGGACATCTATGGGTGAGTTGTTGTCAGAGATATGACACTCTTACATAAGCATTCTTGTCTTTATCATCTAGCACTGCATGGATTACACAAAAAAACCCCCAAACCTTAGCAGCTGCTTATTCCAGCTGAAAGAAGTAGGTGTTTAGTTTTGACATGCTAAGATCTTTGTCATGACTTCAACATTTATAGTGGGATTTGAGATTTCTGCTGTTCGTAGTTTATTTATCTGTTGCATTTTGGAAAGTTACAAGGCAATTTTCATGTCAGGTTTCTCCAAGGTGGCACTTAAAAGATAACTAATGTGCTCTCCAGGAACATCAGACCTTTCCCTGCCTTCCTCATCCCTGACTAGATAGAGGGCATCACTAAAGTGCCTATGTAGTGCAATTTCCCTATGTCTTTTCTTTCTTGACCCATGTTATTTGTGCATGAAATAATTCAGTGAATTTAACTGGAGGGAGGCAATTTAAAATTTTGGGGTAATTTCATCTTTCTTTTTTTAGTACACTAGTAATTTTGAGTATATGCATATTTCAGATTTGAAACATTCGAAATCAACAGCTTTGAACAGTTCTGTATCAACTATGCCAATGAAAAGCTGCAGCAGCAGTTCAATATGGTAAGTAGGAAGTGACTGGCATTTCCTCTTCCCTTTCCCCTCATCCAAATCCATTCTGCTAATTGGCTCCCCAGTGGTTAGGATGAATTCCTTCAGTCTATTAAGCAGCTGTCCTGGCCGTGGGCTTTGAGGGATGGAGAAAGATTGACTATCTCCTAGAAATAGATTTTATGACTAACTGCTGCTCTGGGACTATTTGAAATTCTGATCACAGTAACAATTATAAGGCAGAAGCAGTGCTTGGCAATTAAGACCCTGAGATTGCCTGCCAGTGAGGGCACTGTGTGGATGAAGTTGGAGTCAGAGGTGTGTCCACAGGCCCCAGGAGCCCCTGGGCAGGCAGAGGAGAGCGCGGCTCCGCTGCTGGAGCTTCGCCACCCGCGCTTCCTCCCCGCTGTTACTTTTTGAGGCTTTTTGGCTGCGTGCTGAAGGTGATGAATGACGTGTGGCAGGAGGCGGCTCTTCCCCCTCCTCCGGAGAGATCACGATTCTCTCCTCAGCCTCAGTGACGTTTGCAATTACATATCTTACCTGCATCATGATGAGGCAAGTTATTTCTGCCAGGTCTGTTGCTAGGCTCTGCCGCAGCTCCGGGTAGCTCGGAGCTCTCGTTGTGATCCTGCCTCTGTGGCAGTGTGTGCTCGCAGGGCTGGATCCCCTGTGCCGAGGTTCATCCCCGTGTGTCAGGGTGCTGGAGCAGAGGCTGGGCTTTCCAGCCCTGGCATGCCCTTTCCATGTGGGTAGTGCCATGGCTGGCTTCAGCTCCGTGATGAGTGGGATGTAACTGCCAGGCACAGGGTGAATTGGAGTTTTCTCAGCTTGCAGCAAAATCTATTTGCTGTAGGAGGTGTAATGGTTTCTCTTCTTCAGCGAAGATAACTGTCCCCCTGTTCCCTTCCCTCTGGTGCCATTGCTGTAAGCACTTGCCCCATGAAGGAGGGGGTGGCAGGGCTGCAGTGTTGGTGTCCTGCCAAGCTACCAGTGCTGGTGAGCATGAACCTGTTGGGCTGCCATGCAGGCACACAGGGGGAGGCTGCTTTGAATTAAAACATTGAGGCTGGTGGCCAGCAAATCTTCATGTGCTGCCTGGAGCAGCCTGAGTCTGGCTGAGGAGAGGCCATTTGGGAACTGCCCGACCACCCTGCCCTGCCTGGTGCCCACCGCCCACAGGGAAAATCAGGTCTGATGGCATTTTTCACCACCTAATTGCTGGTTCCTTCACAGTGAAAAAACGAGTTTCTGTTTCCTTTCAGGTCTTGGGTTGGATATGACTTGCCAGTAGAATGCTGGCAGGGCTTTGCTGCCAGGTGCAGGGTGGGAATGGCTCCCACGGGCGCGGTTCAGGAGCGCAGTGCTGGGGAGGATGGCGTTAAGCTAATGGAATAAAGGGATAAACAGCTTTGTCGGGGTAGTGTTCTGCTGCCTGGCAGACGCGTGCTGGGGAGTGTGAGGTGTCTGTGGGCTGTGCACTGAGCTCGGGGCAGCTGGGGCTGGTGCCCAGTTCAGGTGGTGTGGCACCCCAGACCCTGCCTGTGCTGCTTGGGGCACTCCCAGCACACGTTCACCTGCCACAGCAGCATTCAGTGTGCAGAAAAATGTAGGTGGGGGACGAAACACCATCAGAAATAACTGGAGTCAGCAGTCTTTTTGGTTTTTCAAAGTGCTTGTTCTATTAAGACCACAGTTTGCCTGTTTAATATCTTATTCTGTTTTTTTCCTGAAGTTTTAATTAATCTCTTATGCACATTTCATTAAAGCCATGCAGGTTGTTTGTGATAATATTTTTGAATAAATATACAACTACACGGTTACTGATCTTCGTACCAGATAAATCTGTCACAGAATTTTCCTTAAAGGATTTATAGTTCTAATGCTCCTTCAGCTTTTGCTGAAGAGTAAATTTTAATGCAGTGCGTCACATTAGAAAAAAAAATCAGCAGCCATTTAAGAGGAAATGGAGCTCTGTTATTTTACAAGGAAACACAAAGGTATTTATAGTGAAACTTTACTTGAATTAGAGCAGTTTTCATCATTTCCAAATCATAAAAGCATGGCACATCCCACTTTATAGGTTGCTGTTCCAGCACTTTAAGATTTTCTGAGTTTTGTGTTGGTTTTTATAAGAGTAAAGGGCTTATAGTAATAGTGGGACAATACAGTAAAAAGATAGGATATTTGCAGAGAATATCCTTTAGAATATCCTTTATCCTGAGTGCTTTAATTTGGACTGTTGTTTTTAGGCCAGGAAAAAAGGTTAATTTATTTTTCATACACTGTTAAAGAGTTTGTTCAGTTGAACTAGTGCTAGTGAGTCACTTGACAGCCTGGATTAATGTGCCAAGATGAATCCAGTTGAGTTCAATATATTTATTCTGCATTTCATTTCACAGAAAACTGTTTTCCTTTTGCCCTGCAGCACGTCTTTAAGCTGGAACAAGAAGAATATATGAAGGAACAAATACCATGGACCTTGATTGATTTCTACGACAATCAGCCTTGCATCAACCTCATAGAGGCCAAAATGGGAGTTCTGGATCTGTTGGATGAGGAGTGCAAGGTGTGTGTTCAAGGGCTTCCATAGAGGGAGAGGTCATCAGCTGCCCTGCTTCTGGGGAAGTCACCTGCAGCCAGTTGTCATTTTGACACTGATGGGGCAAGAATTTGGAAAGCATACAAGAACTGGCAATTACAGGAGGAGAAGAAATGGTTTCAGTAATGAACCCCCCACCCCTTCCCCTCCATCATGTATCTGTAGCTGTTCCTGGGTTTCTGATAAACTTTCTTTGGACTTGGACAGTTTTCTCTTCCCCAAGGATAAGCAAGTGCAGTCCTTGGTCCTGTCACATTTCCCCAAATTGCCTCTTGCTTAGTGTTTCACCCTTTGTGTTTTATCTTGGTTTATTTTATGCCAAGTCATGTACAGGGGATGGCTCAGGGTGTGTCTGCCTCAGTGGAAATCCACCTTGGGGTTCTTATTGATCCCAAGGAATCTCTAATGGAGGTGGATGAGTTCTGCTCAGTCTGGTAACGTGCCTTTGGGATCCCTGCCTCCAGGTGTGTGACACTGGAGGCATTGCTGGTGTCAGGTGTGTCCCAGCAGCTGCACCTGCTGCCAGTGCCCAGTGTCCAGTACCCAGTGTGGAACCGGCAAGCACACAGCTGGTTACTGTGTCCTTGCTTCTGGCAGGGCTGGGAATCCGAGGAGCAGGAATGTGAAAGCAAATCATCAAGTGTTGTCCCCCATCGTTTTAGGTGCTTTTGCTACTGAGACATTCTCAAGACATTTTAAGTGTATTCTGTATTCTTTTCCGTAGATGCCAAAAGGCTCAGATGACTCCTGGGCCCAAAAGCTTTACAATACTCATTTGAATAAATGTGCTCTCTTTGAAAAACCACGTATGTCAAATAAGGCCTTTATCATCAAGCACTTTGCTGACAAGGTAAGGACTTTTCCTGCAGCACGGCTTTCCTGCTGCTGTGTGGGAGGGCACCCTGGGGCTGCCGCGGGCAGACACTGGGCAGTGGCATCCCTGGCTCTACTTGGCTCTTGCTGCCTCAACGCCCCGTCAGGAGGAGAAGGTGAAGTGGCAGCTGAGCAGGGACACACAGGAGCTCCTGACTCCATCACATGCTGCAACCACTGCCCATCCTTTTTCCAGTCATGGAAGCTCAGTGCATTTACAGCTCTCAGCATCACTGTATCAGTTCCAGTTATGCAACAGAAATGTCCAAAAAAGGAAATCCTGTACCCTACTCCTTTTAGCTAAAGAGCAGCAGTGAATTAATGCCGTTTTTGCTGCCACCTCAATGCGCAAAGAGGAGAGAGGCTAGCAGAGCCTTTTCTATTGCTGGAGCAGTGTGTGCTGCTCCCACCCTCGCCTCGGCTGTGCAGGGAACAGCTATTTCCAGGAAGCTGGCTGAGGGGCGTCTCAGTGCAGTGCATCTCGTGTTCAGCTCCCAGTGCTCCTCAAACTGAGCCGCTCCTCAGGTTAAAACAAAAAATTCAGCATCCCATTTAATACAATTGTCCTGTTATACAGAAAAGCTGCCTGAGAATATTGTCAGCTTTGTCAAAAAAAGGTTTCAAGAAGCTCTCAGATTCTTACCAGTAGGTCTGCACTGCTGACATGGGGGGTTGGAGGCCTTTGTCTGCCTCCACTAGGTTTCTCCCAGGCTCTTGAATTTATGTGTAGAAGAAGGGTCCTGTTCTTTTTGCATTTAGTGTTACCTTAATGAAAGCACCAGGCACATCTCTGTAACTGTTTAGATTCACGAGTTCTATTTTGTGGATGAGAGAACAAGAAGGAATTATTTAACATTTCATAATCTGTTCATTAGGCTAAACTTTGATATTGAAAGCAAGGCTTTCCTATGGCTAATCTGTGAGCAGCAAGGGCCAAGGAAAGCAGAAAGTAGCTCCAAGCAGGTACTAGCAAAGCTCTAAGCTCTGCCCTGCTGTCTGTGCTAAGCATTTTATGTTTTCTGTGTGCTTGTGTGACTGTACACGGACATATGGGGGGAGAAATAAAGCCGCAGCTGGCAGGTCAGCCGTGTGCTGACGCTGTGCTCCCGGACAAGGCAGGGATGCTGCTGCCCTCTCCTGGCATGGCCTCCCGCAGGAAGACCATGGATGGTGCCCAGGTAGTGCCCAGGGTGGGCTTCCAGCTGTGCAGAAACCCTGGGGACATCCTCTGTCCTCTTCCATCTAGGAATTCTTTGAAATGTTTTGTAGCTCAGGGTATAGTGTCACTGTGCAAGCGCTGATAAATGGGCTTTTGACCATAGTTTTGGTTTTCTTTTAGCCTTGAATTAGGACAGTGAAATAAATGGTAGGTTTTTATCTGACCCTGGCTGTTCTTTGGTCCAGGAAATGCTGTAGCCCTGTGACAGAGTGTTGCTATGTATTGTCACAACATTCAGCCATTTTGTTGCTTCTGGTAAAATGAGTCCTTTGGAGCACAAATGAGCCATTTCCACAATAATCTGCAGGCAGATGTACTTACTGCCTCTCAGCTAACGAGATGAGAGATACTTTGTTCTCAGTTGCATCTGGATTTCTGGCAGCTCTGCAGCCCTGGTGGGTTCAGTGGAGGAGATGCTCAGCACACACTTTGATTCTCCACCCTTGCAGTAACCATTCAGTCGTGCTGCCTTGCCAGGAGCATCTCTCAGCAGTGAAATATGTCTGGTTAATGCAATAGCAGTGTTCCTCTCTCTATTTTAATGTTCTGTGTTTTACTGGAAAGCACTCTGAGGAAAATCTATATTTAACAAAGATGCACTTGGGAGCTGATATTTTCAGTATGTAAAAGAATTATGTTTTAAATGTGAATGTTGTAGCTGGTGAATTCTATGCAAATTATTCTTATTTAATACTTCTAATACTTTTTCTTGTAAATGATGACTTTCAGGTGGAATATCAATGTGAAGGCTTTTTGGAAAAGAATAAAGACACAGTTTATGAAGAACAAATTAGGGTCCTAAAATCAAGTAAGGTTAGTATAAGGAATTTTTTTCTTCTTTTGCAGTTAAGAGTCCTTGAATTAAGGGTCACAGAAAACTTCTTATAAACCTAGGAAATATTTCTCCCTTAGTATCAGATACACTGAAGTTGAACATAGTTTGTGTTTTACTTGGTTACCTGTGTGAATTTAGAAAATCCTATATCCTAACTTTTTTCCATGTAAGATCAGTCTATTTAGCTACTAATTTCACTGTTTGTGGGTCATTGTTGCTGTTTTGGGGGCTCTTTTCTTGGGTTTGGGTTTTTGAGTGGGTAGGGGGGTTTGGGGAGGGGAGTTTCTTTTTCACAAAACTTAGCTATATTTTCTGCAGAGATGTCAAAGACTTTTGATATACCATAGTGGTATAAGAAAGCTTAACAGTTAAGCCCTTAATTTTGTAACCTGAAAACAGAAGCTCATTGTTTATGGCATGACAGAAAATTTCTGAAGGAGAGACAAGATCAAAATGAGAGAGGAATAAAATATATAGACTGTAAGGACACAAACCAGAACTTACAGTCTTGTCTCCTTGATGTCTATGAAAGAAATACAACTTCTGAATTGAAAAATACTGCATGAAGGAATATTGTAGAACAGGCCTTCAGAGGCATCATCTGTGTTTTGTAATGGCAGAAATGCTGGTTGTGCTCTCAGAAATGTGAAGGCAATTAACTTGGCGTTGCACAGTGGTAGCTGTTGGGAATTTGCTGGCTCTAATGGCCCAGGAAGCTGGGTATCAAGGACAGGCTATTTAAAATTATGCTATTCTATCAGGAAAAGCAAAGTTTTTCTCTTCTGTTTCTATTCTGAGCGGGTAATATGAAGCTAAATGATTAAAACATGTGGTATAATGAAATACCACAGCAGACTTTCCGCTGGGAGAAGTATTGAAGTGGTTTAAGTGAAGCCAGTTTCTGGGGTGGAGGGGGAGGCAGGTGGCATCTCTGGGGAGCTGGCAGAGGCCAGCCAGCCACTCTGTGCAGGACAGAGGGACAGGGTGCTCCGTGGGATGTCAGCCAGTGGCTGAGGGACAGACAGAGGGGACAGAGCTGCTGTGAGAGCCTGACAGCAGCTTGGGCAGGCTCAGTGTAGCTTGGGGCAGTTCAGCCTAAACACTGAAAAACAACATGGTTTTACCCTGTGGTAAATTTTGCCAAAACCGTTGTAAAGAATGTTTTATTTTTGTTTTGCATCAGTGCCTCTTAGTAATTGTAGTAGAACTGCATTTCTGATTTTTATTTTATTTTGTTGTTGGTGGTGTTTTCTGGGTTTGCTGTGCACATCTAACAGAAGGTAATTCTAAATTGAATGCATCATCTCTCCTCCTGCCCATGCCCACTCTCACACACAGCTTGGATGCTTCTTTGCTCTCCAAAGTGCATGACACCCTCTGCTCTTGGCAGGGACTGTAGAGCTCAACTATTTATTTTGGCCTTCTCTCTAAATCCACCCACAGAACCTCTGTGAACTAGTTTAGTTTCCATGCATGTATCATGAAAGCAATACAACAATCCTGGGCTTTTATGCTTGCTACTGGCATGGTTGTTCAAATTTTCTGTTGTGGCTCTGTATTGAAAGAAATGATCTGTAAGATTGTTAGCAGCATGTGTGTTAGGTTGTCTGAAAAAATTACAGGGAAGAAATGCTTCCTTGCTTGTTTTCTATCACGTGAATTATCTACCCTTTGATCAGTGTTTTCCCTCTCTCTGAACACTCCTAGTGTTCTACAAAACAAAGAAAATGGATGAGGTGCTAAAACCCCAAACCAAGCAGGAGTAGTCCCACAGTTTGGATCATTGCAGCACTGCTCCTCTATTGCTGACCTGTACTGGAGAGGCTAGACATTGTTCCTTTATTCTACTTGGAGTAACTGGGCTAGTGTCTATGAAAATAGTGCCTTTGGTATGCACTTGCCCATTTTTACAGGCAGATTTTCCCAGGGCTGGAGAAAGAGAATGAGGCTCAGATATGGACAGTTTAGAACTCATCCATCTGCAGCTGAGACAATGGGAACCCTGTTCCTACCCCCACCTCTGGTGTGTGGGAGCATCAGGAGCTTCAGAAAATCATATTATATTCAAATAAGTTTCTGTACAAGCTGAGAACACCTGGCTCTGTAGCTCAGCTGCCTGTGCACACCAGCTCACTGCGTCACAGGCAGCTGACAAGGAGGTGGCACCCCAGTCACCCTCAGCTCTGTGCTCAGTCAGTGCAAGGAGAAGAGTAAAGCACTCTCAGGAAATGTCCTTCTTCCACCAGCTCAGGTGAGATCAACCCAAGCTGTGATACTCCTTTTTAAGTCCAGGAATTTAGGGTACCTTTGTAGCATCCTTTGTCACTTTGTTGTGCCAGGTGCTGCTGGGGAACATTTGATGTCCTTTTCCAGCCCATCTGGCTGAACCACAGGGCACAGGTGCCATGTTGTTGTGCACTGTGTTCCATTGGTTATTGTGTCTGCTCACCAAGCTTTAGAAGTCAAAACCAATTTTTAAATTTTTTAGACTGTACTTGGCCCAAGCGCTTTCTAGTACTGAAAAATGAATGTTCCTGTCTCTTGGGGAAAGATACAGATGCTAGATATAAAATTATTCATGGACAGGTAGAGAGGTTCAGATTCTCTTGTAATGGTTCTGAAGAGCTGTAGTTGTCAGTAGAAAGACCTGGTGGTGCTATTTTTAGATATAAGGTACTTCAAAGCAGCTGTTATGGATCAGTATGTTTTGCAGCCATTAGAGAAAGGGAAGCAGAGGTCCTGTGTGGTATTTGGAAGGACATTTCAGGTTTTTCTTCCACTCCCACTGGCAGGGAGTAGATCTCAGTCAGATAAATTTGGCTAGAGGGTTTTTTTGAGTTGATGGTTCCTCTGTTAAGCTGATTATTTCAATTTAGAGTGATAAAGCAGGAATCGTCTTTGCTGCCTGCTGCTTTATTCAGTGTCCCAGATACCTCTCAACCACAAAAGAGACTGATGCACCTTTCAAATATGAGAGGACCCTCTCGTTTCCTTCTTAGCTCAAAGCAGCCATTTATAATTGCAACTAGTACTTAGGCAACTGCTGTTGGTATCTAACAGTTTCACATGGCTGTTGTTGGCTATATGAGAAAAAAAAATCAGAATTTTATCTTGAGAAGGAGACTCACTGATCAAACCCACAAAGGTTTTGGTATTAAATCATGGCCCACTCACTATACCACTCAGCTTGTCTGTTTTTTGCATTTGTCTCCTGTGAAGTTCACCAAAAATGCAGTTCTTACAAAAGCCGAGCCTGGAATTTAACCTTAAGCACAAACAGGTACAATTGCTTGCTGGATTCTTACCCTCTGTATATTTTTTCTGCTGTTACACCAGTTTAAGCTGCTGCCAGAATTATTCCAGGATGAGGAGAAGGTGCTCAGCCCCACATCAGCAGCCCCTTCAGGGCGCGTGCCTCTGTCTCGAATGCCTGTCAAACCTGCCAAGGCCAGGCCAGGGCAAGCCAGCAAGGAGCACAAGAAAACTGTGGGACATCAGGTGAGTTTGAAGATGCAGCTCTATCACACAATGTCTCCTTTGACCTCCTGTCTCATAGGTCTCAAGGTGTGCTTGTGGGATCCCTTGTGATTTTGAGAGAGGTGCAGCTTATTGCCACTTACAGCTTGGTGCAAATAGTCCCTCATTACTGAGGCACTGTGGGGAGCAGTGTGAGGCAGCCCATTTTTTATTATGGTGCCAAACCCCAAACTGATGCTTTTCAAAACAAATTTAATGTGGATGCTGAGAAGTTTGGAAAATCTTAAACTGGGTTTTTTGGATCATGTGCCACTTTCTCTGATTCAAATCCAAAGTGGAGTTCAATCCCCAGAAAACTTGGTTCCAGTTGTCAGTGGCCAAATATAAAACATCTGCATATCTTTGCCATAATTAAATTAAAAGTATGCAAATGAGGTTGTCTCAAAGATGACTGAGCTTGTTGAGGCTATCCCTGACTTTTTTTTTTCCTTTTCTTTTTCAAAAAGTTTCGAAACTCTCTTCATCTGCTGATGGAAACCCTGAATGCTACAACTCCACACTACGTGCGCTGCATTAAGCCAAATGACTTCAAGTTTCCATTCACGTAAGATGCCAGTTCCTGTGGGCTTTGAGGAGCCCGTGTTGGGAGGGGATTGCCCAAGGCCACTGGGCATCAAGGCTCTGCTGAGCCGTGCTCACTCAGGAGTGAAGTGCTGTGTCTCCTTCCTCTGGTTATGGATTCACTGTGTGTGCATTACAGCAGGACATGTTTGGGGATGAATAGAGGGAGAAAGACTTCCTGATGCCGTTTTTTTGTTAATGGTGATACGTGAGATAAAAATTCCAACATTTTCGTTGCCAGCAATTTTAAATGTAACTGTGGTTTGCACTCCTTGAGCTCCTTTGACAATTGCTGGAATTTGCTTTTTCGGATTCCAAAGCCTTTTTTCTTTTTTTTCCTCATACATGAGCTTGCTTAGAGTTTTTCTCAAAGCCCAGGCACACAAAGGCTCCTGTAGCTCTTGTGCTGGCCAGCAGGAAGTGCTAGTGGGCTCAGACTGCTCTCCAGCCAGGCTGCCCTCTGTTACCCCTGAGTTTCAGGAGCGCCCTATCCAGCACCCATCACACCCACCCTGCTCCCCACTGTGATTCTCTCCTGGGTGTGCACACCAGCAGGACCCCCAGATGATGCAAGCCGAGTCCCACATCCTACAGCCACCTTTTGTTCCTGCCTAGGTTTGATGAAAAGCGGGCAGTGCAGCAGCTGAGAGCTTGTGGTGTCCTGGAGACCATCCGGATCAGCGCTGCTGGCTTCCCCTCCAGGTGTGTCTGCTCTCTCTGAACTGCTTCCAGCTGCAGTTCTTTCTAAGGGAATGTTCATTGTTGGCACTGACGCTCTGCTTTTGGGACAGGTGGACGTACCAAGAGTTCTTCAGCCGTTACCGGGTTCTGATGAAGCAGAGAGATGTCCTTGGTGACCGAAAGCAGACGTGTAAAAATGTCCTGGAGAAGCTGATTCAGGTACTGGACTTGGTGCTGAGAGCATTTGGAATCTGCAGGAATAGAGACAGTGTCTCTTACTGCCTCATAGCGACACTGTTTTAGTACTTCTACAAAATACTAAACCACAAATGTCTCCTGTAGCTCTTTGACTGCTGTTCCTTTCAACTTAGAATCAAACAGCCAACAAAATTAATTTTTTTTTTTCAGTGTGCCTTTGTATATTTTCAGTTTTCCCTCAAAGGAGTACTACAGCCTGTAGACATAAAACATTATTCTCTTTCTGGTTCAGTTCTGAAATTTCAGATGTGTTTGAGCAGCAGCAGCAGCGTGCTTTGTTCTGCACCTGTCCTGACACAATAAGTGATTTGTACATGTCTGAAGCCCCAGCTGCTTTGTTTGCACTGTGTAATGTGGTTGAGGATGGACCATTCAGAGGGGTCAGCTACAATTTAAGCAGAAAATTGTACATGTTCACTGCCTGTATTGCTTTCATCCTCTGGGCCCCTTTGTCACCTCCTGTAGCCTTCCATGTTATTATCTTTATGGCATTATGATCTAAGCAAGAAATCTCACATTGCCCCTTTGGGCCATGCTTGTGGCCTTATTATATTAATTTTTAACAGAATCATACAGAGAAAATACCTTTCTCCACTACTTAATTTAAGTCTCAGATTGCCCAAAATATTACACAGATAATTTTGCCTCTTTACTAACTGTGCTTTCATTTAGCCCTTCATGCCTTTTTTTATGCACTAACACTTAATGCCGTAACTTATCCTCTTTTTACCTTTGAAAATAGGACAAGGATAAGTACCAGTTTGGTAAGACAAAAATATTTTTCCGGGCTGGTCAAGTAGCCTACCTGGAAAAAATAAGGGCAGATAAGTTGAGAGCTGCCTGTATCCGCATCCAAAAGACGATCCGGGGCTGGCTGATGAGGAAGAAGTACATGCGGATGAGGAAGGCTGCCATCACCATCCAGAGACATGTCAGAGGGTACCAGGCACGATGGTAAGCACTGCTCAGGGCAGATGCCAGCCCCAGTCCACAGCCCTGGAAGCAGGGCATTTAAATGTGTTACATTTGTTCTCGCCTTCCTGTGCTGCCTGAGAGGAAACGATTTTCCAGACAAATGAAGGAAATTGAGTATGGGTGTGTCTGTCCTGACTAGTTTTGACCTTTCTGAGAGGACAGTAGCACCCTGGCTCTATGATGCAGCAAACAAGTAGTACTTAGGAGATATGCTGCAGGTGAGGTAAAGCAGGACTGTCTGAGTCCTTATTGCCCAGTTTCCGTGTGCCCTCCCAGCTGGGTCTGTCCTGCTGGAGAAGCCATTCCTCATCCAGGGTGCAGCTGTAAAAGGACATTCATCAGTCAGTGATTTGTTTGGATTGACTTCTGAGGGATGGCCATGGGGCCAGAGAGAAGGGCAGGAATACAGGTGGTATTGTTCAAAGACAAGGTGGTGATGAAGGCTGTAATAACCAACCTTCAGAAAGAGGCATATGTCAAGATGCTTTGTAATTGTCTTACTGCAATAGCCAAGAACAAGCAAACTTTTTCTACTACTGGAGGTTAGGAGAGTAGATCTGGAAGATGACATAGTGGAAACAGCTTTAAAGTTGGAGAAGAGGTGATGAGAAATTAAGCTGAGTTTACCTTGTCAGCTGTATAGTGCAATTCTTAGGGGAAGGGAAAACATCTCCCTGTAAAGCTTTGAAAGGTTTCTGTTAATTTGTCATTCTGCTGTTGTACTACCACACAGCAGAATAGCAAGTAAATATACAGTCTCACTGACAACACTAAAAATACAGGCTATTAAAAAAGCCCCAAGCATTCAATCACATAATTACAAGTACTGTTTGTGATCTTTTCCTTAGCTATGCCAAGTTCCTGAGGAGAACACGAGCTGCCATCACCATTCAGAAGTTCCAGCGCATGTACGTGGTCCGCAAGAGATACCAGTGCATGCGAGATGCTACTATTGCTCTCCAGGCTCTCCTGAGAGGTTACATGGTCAGAAACAAGTACCAAATGGTAAGAAATCACAATGTACTTTTTCACTCTGCCTTTATTTCCACACACTTTCAGGACAAAGCTTCTCTGCGCTGTCATCTTGGGAATCTGAAATGTTTTGTGTGCATGCTGTTAGGTGTGATGCAGAGACAAAATAGCAGAGCATGGATTAAGGGATAGCACCTGGAAATTAGAAATATCTAATACTGCCATCAACTTGTCATTGTAGACATATTCTCATTGTCATCTAGTACTTTTGTACATCTAGTACTTAGACTTTCAGTGCAGCCAGTGGAGAATCCAGCAGAGATTTACAGCATTTCTGACTTTTTCACTTGTTATATAGAATGTTGAGGCACTTAAATACTGAAAATGGCCTTGCTTTAATCTGTCTCTGTTAGTCCAAATCAGTATTGCTTACATCAGTATACAAGTGATGCACTCACTACTGGTCCTTTCCCATCTCTAGTTTCAGTGATTCTGAAATGGCTTATGGAATTATGTTAGCAAAGAGATTCCCACAAAAATTGGGTATAAAAAGTTATCCATGGGTGGAGTGTTTTTGTTTTATTTTATTAATGTTTGTTGGTTTTGGTGTGGGGATAATTTGATATAACCCTGTCCTAGTGATATTGGTAATATTTTCCTGAATATGCTTGATAATAAATTATTCAATTGAGAAATTAGAATTTGGTTTTCAGTGATTACAGGGCTGGAAACAGAATTGTATTCAAACTGCAAAGTGGTAACATGTTTCATAGCACTTTTATATACAAGAACTGTTTTAACCAGGTTCAAAAGTCATCTTGTATTTCACTGAAAAAGTAGCTGAGGGATTTGTTTTCCCAAGCATGTAAATGTTAAGGACATGCAGCAAAAAGCCATCTGATGCTTATGTACCATATTTTTCTCTTTTGTATTTGGAGTTTTTATATTTTTCATTAGTATTAAAATTGCTAGAGAGTCACATGTGTAGTATTCTAACATAAACTAGCCACAAAGCTGAAAAAAAAAAAACCTTGATGAGAATTTCTTAGTAGTAAGACCCTTGTGGTTGACTTGGCTGTTCTTTTATGTGGTTATCCACTTACCTTTATATTGGAATTCTTAGCATTCTTCTTATTACAAACTGTATTTATGATGTTAAACAAGATGTGTTTTTAACAGCGGTCTGACAGATGTGACGAAGTGACACCTGGGTCACAGCAGCAGGTGGCCTAAAATCTTTGGGAAGATGGGAGTTGTTTCTCTCTGCCTTGTTAGTCACATGAGTAATACACAGCCCATCTGTCTTGTAGCACAGTTTAATAAACCTGTTATGTTCCCTCCTAATAGAGATGGCAGGTTTCTGGAGGAGTCCCTGGGAGGGGTGGTCAGACCTGCCTGTCAGGAGGATCCCCCTCGAGCTGTGAATTGTTCTCTGCAGTAAAGCATGACAGTCTGACAAGTGCCCCTGCGGCGTGCTGTGTTTGTCTTGTCCTGCCAAGGTGGGATTTTACCCAGGCTGAGGTGCAGGATGGCCAGAGAGGGAGGCACAGGTGTGCCATGGGAAGGTACACAGGGCTGTTGTGGAGTTGGTGATTGCAGGCGGGTGAAACCGAAAGGGTGCCCTGTGACAGGACAGCTGGCTGAGCCTGGCTGCAGTAATGTGTGGTACACGTGCTGCTCCTTGGGATTGTGAAAGGGACCTGTTGTTGTTGTAGGAAGAGAGGGCACGTCTTGAGTCACGTGGGCAGGACAAGGAATTTAATATGGTTGAATCATCTGTTTCACACATCCTGGGGAAAGCTCCTGCCTGAGACATTGCAATGTGCTTCTCAGCTGGACAAGGAGTCTAGTTCCTCCTTTAGCTTTGACATAAGCTTTCCTGGGATATAGCTGGTAGATGAAGTAACTTTCCTGATCCTCTCACTGTACTTTGGAGCGGCCTGTTTCCTCACTGGATTGCATGGATGTGAGAATTCCCCGGCAGATGAGGACCATCCCCACGCCATGGAGGTATTTTACAGGGCTTGTTGCTTTCAATCTTGAGGTGAAAATTGTTGAAAGCTGTTGTATTCTAGTGTACAGGCACCTGCTGGGAACCTGCTGAAGGAGTGTTCCAGAAAATGTGTAAGGAGGAGGCAGGAAGGCCAACTGCATGGCATGCAGTCAGGAGGACTTTGGCTTTTGACCTTGCTGTGCTTTTCGGAGAGCTGCTTCCTTACCTTGGTGTGCTGAGTGACTGAGTGATGGGATTTCCAGTCTCATTTTTAACTCAGAAATAAGTGCTAAGGGAGAAAGTTCGTATGTATTACAGTCTTGCCACTTTGCCAGTGAATTATAAATTCATTGATCTGGAACTGTAATGCTTCTAACACATTTCAGTTCATTTGCTAAGCAGTCTAAAAGAAAATAAAATTACTGTTACCTGACTAGTTTGTGTTATCAGCTTTGTGGTAAATCAGTGTAAGAATGTGAACTGTCTATGATATTTAAACTATCAGTTCTGAGCATTAACATGCAATCCTAGATAATTTTGTTCTTTAGAATAAACTGTTTTATTTGCAGAAGCTTTATTAAGTGAACTCTAAAGCTCTCAGAGTACTGGAAGCCTTGTGGATTTGGGCAGGCTCTCCATTCATATCTCATGTAATCTGCTTGAATTCAGGGGTTCTGTGATTGAATTGGTGGGTGAAGGATGCAAAAGCAAGTGGTAGACTCTTCTTAGCTGAACTTTCTGGCTAACGCACATGGCTGGTTTATGTTACAGACTTTTTTAAAAAAATAATCTGGATTTTTTTTTTTTACACCTCAAACCTATGGTTGAAATTTCTGCCATAAAATAAATTCAAATTATTACACTATAAATTTCTTACTAGAATAGATGAAAACTTTTCCATGCTGGCAAGCCTAAGGTATGTCAAAAAAGGCAACAAAAAACCCCCAAAACAAAATAACACAAACAAACCAAAAGCTTCTGACTTCTTAAGAGCTGCTACAATTTCCTCTGGGAAATGCAGTACTGACTGCATTGCATATCAAATGTGGTAATTTTAAACTTTGTATTGATGACCTCTATGCAGCATATGTCAACAATTCTAAAGTGTTTCAAGATAAAGATGCAGTTAAAAAAAAAGGAGATTGTATTTATAATCTTGCCAACAGGTACCATATACTTTTGCAATTAGCTGGGCTCTGACCTCAACACAAAGGAATGCCTGCTGCTTCCATGTGCCTCCAGTTCTTTCTGTCATGTTTTTCTCTCCAGTTCCTTTTCATTTTACCCCCTGTTGTTGTCCTTGTTCCAGTCTTCTTTCCCTCTTCTTTTATTTCTAATTTACATTTATTCCATTTCTTGCTGGTCTTCCCCAAAAGTTTCTCTTTGTAGGGGAAGGTGTCCATCCTTACGGGGTCCCGTGTGCCTGCCCAGGTGCAGTTTGGAGCTCTAACCCCTGTGTTTTCCATGTGTTTTCCCCACTGCAGGTGCTCCATCCTTACGGGGTTCCATGTGCCTGCCCAGGTGCAGTTTGGACCTCTAACCCCTGTGTTTTGCCCACTGCAGGTGCACCATCCTTACGGGGTTCCATGTGCCTGCCCAGGTGCAGTTTGGAGCTCTAACCCCTGTGTTTTCCATGTGTTTTGCCCACTGCAGGTGCTCCATCCTTACGGGGTCCCGTGTGCCTGCCCAGGTGCAGTTTGGAGCTCTAACCCCTGTGTTTTCCATGTGTTTTGCCCACTGCAGGTGCTCCATCCTTACGGGGTCCCGTGTGCCTGCCCAGGTGCAGTTTGGACCTCTAACCCCTGTGTTTTGCCCACTGCAGGTGCACCATCCTTACGGGGTTCCATGTGCCTGCCCAGGTGCAGTTTGGAGCTCTAACCCCTGTGTTTTCCATGTGTTTTGCCCACTGCAGATGCTGCGGGAGCACAAGTCCGTGGTCATCCAGAAGCACGTGAGGGGCTGGCTGGCGCGGCGGCGCTACCGGCGCACGCTGCGGGCCATCGTCTACCTGCAGTGCTGCTACCGCCGCATGATGGCCAAGAGGGAGCTCAAGAAGCTGAAGATAGAGGCCCGCTCTGTGGAGCGCTACAAGAAGCTCCACATTGGCCTGGAGAACAAGATCATGCAGCTGCAGAGGAAAATCGATGAGCAGGTAAAAGCTTGTCACTTTAGAGTGCAAAATAGAAAGGTGCGTGTGGTCGTGCTCGAGGGTCCCAGGACAGGGAGGAGATGAGAATCTTGACTCCATGTTTCAGAAGGCTGGTTAGTTATATTATGATATTACATTATATTAAAATGCTATATTAAAACTATACTAAATAGAGAGAAAGGATCCGTCAGAAGGTGGAAAGGAATAGAAAGGAATGATAATAAAATCTTGTGACTGCTCACAGCCTTGACACAGGTGGCTGTCATTGGGTATTAGGTGAAAACAATTTCACATGCTGGGTAAACAATTCTCCAAATCACATTCCAAAGCAGCAAAACATGGAGAAGCTGAAGCTTCCCAGCTTCTCAGGAGAAAAGACCCTAGCAAAAGGATTTTTCATAAAATATGCCTGTGACGGGTGCAGACACTGGATTTTCCAAGGCACAAAAGAGTGATGTTCAATTTCTGACTCTAACATTTATGTATTTTTTCCAAGCCACAAAAGAGTGATGTTCAATTTCTGACTCTAACATTTATGTACTTCTAAAAGTGACAGTGGATTGCAGGGTGAAAGTGCCACCTCTCCAATGACACTGGACAAACTAACAGTTTATCAAATTTTTCCTCCTCCAGAAAAGAATGCAAAACAATTAATTATTTACATAAAGTTCGTGAGAAAGTTCATTACAAAAATGTAAACATCAGAAGGCTTAGAAGAACTCAAAAAAACAGGATGACACTGGGGAAACATGTCAAAGTCTTGGTTACCTTTCTCAGCACTGTGGGGATTCACAGAATGCACTGAATTTTCATTGTAAGGGCTTGGTTCTCTTTTTTGATGAAGAGGAGTGATAGGAGAGAAGGGGAGGCCACAGCAGAAGTGGAGCAGTCAAACATCCACTTGTTCCTCTCAGCAGAGCTGAGAAAAACACCCACTCGCTTAACGCCAGTACTGCGTCTGAAGCACGTCAGTTGCTCTGTTTTAGGGGAAGGTGGGGTGATCCTGTCTGATGTATGTGGGCTCTCCATCTGATTTTAGTTTAGGATGTGCAGGCTTAGAGGCTGGACTGTTCTGTCACCTCGTTAAGCAGTTCTGCAAAACCAGACCAAAACCTTTTTGAAATGGGGAAGCTGCTCCTGTGCTCCCATGTCTGGGTGTCTTCTGTAGGGAAGGAAAAGGCTCCCTTGAACCAGAACTTCTGTAACAGCTGCTCTGTCTGTGTTGTGTTTTGCACAGAACAAAGAGTACAAATCCCTGCTGGAGAAGATGAACAACCTGGAGATCACGTACAGTACGGAGACGGAGAAGCTGCGGAGCGACGTGGAGAGGCTTCGGATGAGTGAGGAGGAGGCCAAGAACGCCACCAACCGAGTGCTCAGCCTCCAGGAGGAGATTGCCAAGCTCCGCAAGGAGCTGCACCAGACCCAGTCGGAGAAGAAGAGCATTGAGGAGCGGGCAGACAAATACAAACATGAAACTGAGCAGGCACGTATGGGGTCTCAGATGCATGAGAGGATTTACAAGGGCCTGGTGTCCACTCAGGTTTTGCCCAGGCTTAATTGTTTCACTTGTGTGACTGGTATTTTTACTGTGTTTTTGTAGCTGTACCATCCTCAATAGCCTTGGTATCTAAATGGCCACACCAATGGTAGAGAAATATGCTAAATCCATATATTATATGTAAATATATGTATCCAGTCTATTCAGATTTTGATGTCAAAAACATTTGCAAAGCCAAATCCTTGAACTTTCTGACTTAGCCAGAGGTAGTGAATTCATTCATTTTAACTACCTAGAGAGAGTAATCACATAGATAGCAGAAATCTGCCCCACATTCAGTATTCAAAGGTGCTGCTATATCCTGCCTGATGCAGACAGCCAGCCAGCCTATTCAACACATGTGCTTAGTCTAGTTCAACAGGTTTCAGCTAACCCCTTTTCTTTGCTAACCACAAACCTATCAAACAGGTTGATTTCTGTCAGGAGTACTTGCTGATAGTGGTGCAAGTTTGAGTATTGGAAGAGCCAATCCATCATTATGTGATGCTGCAAGTGACAAGTTTCAGTATCAGATAAGCATAAGGGAAAATATTTATAGATAAAGCAAAGTGAATGCATGGTAACCATAATCAGAGACAAATGAGTACCTGGCAAACCGGAACACAGGTTAAGTGACACAGCTTTAGGGCAGAGGCAAGATGTTAAATTTTGGTGTTACCCAATGCAATGGAATTTACTGTAGAACTACCAAATGTGTTACTATTTTATGAATATTTCTGTTTTAATGAGCCGTTTACATCTTTGGGACTTCACTGAAAAATACATGGCACTGTGGAGTGCTTCAGGGCAATTTTAGCATCTGATGAGAAATGGGGTTCAGAACATGCAGGGGAGTCTGCAGTGGTACATATTTAAGAAATGTAATTTGGAAATGAAGATATAACTTAGTTCACCAGGTCCACTTTGTGAAGAACAGTTTAAGTACTTCACCTTTTGTTATAACAAAGGTGCCGTTGTTGTTAGAGCTACTGCTGAAAGATGAACTGCATTCTGAGTCAAATATTTTATTATCTCTGTAGCTGGTTTCAGAGCTAAAAGAGCAGAACTCATTACTGAAAACAGAAAAGGAGGAGCTGAACCGCCGCATCCATGACCAGGCGAGGGAAATAACAGGTTGGCTCTGTTCCCTTCATTCAGGCTCTCTACTGCTTGTTACCTGGTAAAGCAACACTCCACTGCATAGATTGGGCTGATTTGCCTTAGTTTACATTCCTTTTTGTGCACTCATTTCTTTTTTTTAAAAAAAAACTTGCAAACATCAAAATTATTTACCATTTGTATTTCCACAAAATCCTAAGACTTCGGGGTCTTTTTTAGGGGGGCTGACTGTTCTAAAGCACTTCAGTTTTTAAAAGGCAGCTCTGATATTTAATACAGTTTATCCACTACAACTTTTCTGGCTGCTGTGACTGTGTAGGCAGCAGCCAAACTCTAGATGTGAGGGCTGTGATGAAGGGAGCTGTGATGAGGAGGGTGAGGATGCTTGAGCTGTAAAGCATTTTGCTTTTACATAGCACAGCAGTGGGATAGTGCCCCTTCTTCCTCCCTCCTGGAATCGCCTATAGAAGGTATTAGCAAAATGAATAACTTGTCTGAGTGAGCCCTTCTGTGGTTGCCACAATAATGCTTTGGCCTTTCATATTTTTGGCTTAATGTCTGCCCAGAGAAGCACAAACACCAGCATCAAACGTCAGGCTGTTCCTCGGTGCAGACAAGGCCTGTACCTCCTGCACGGATGCACTGCATGGTGGGTAGGGCTGGAATTCTCACTGGGATCCCTGCTGTCTGTGGCAGAGTCGATGGAGAAGAAGCTGGTGGAGGAGACGAAGCAGCTGGAGCTGGACCTGAACGACGAACGGTTACGGTACCAGAACCTGCTGAATGAGTTCAGCCGCCTGGAGGAGCGCTACGATGACCTCAAGGATGAAATGAACCTGATGGTGGTAAGTGGCTCCACAGCTGAGAAACCAAAAGCTGTTTACAGCTGTGTTCAGGCAGAGTCTAGTGGGATAAGTTGGTAAGTGCTGTCAGCTGTATGTGTTGGTGACTGTACTTGAAAGAAGTTGTCCTTTTAAAGCCTGTTTATTTTGATTAGTTCAGTCAAAACAAATACATTTAAAATTTGTTGTGGATTAAAAAAAAAATTGTTACAGCTGTGAAGAAGGCTAAATTTCTGCTGTGGCTTTCCTGGTGGTATTACTTGTGCTGTCCACCCTTATTTTGCCCTCAAGTTATTCACATCTGCTGGGGTTGTTTGCACCATCTTCATCCAGTGATAAATTTTAAGTAGTCCTAGGAATGTTCTGTGTGGCAGGAATATAAAGTATTCCTCAACAGAATGTCTAGGAAGTTAAAAAGTTGCTGCCTGTGCTTCCTGTAATCTGAGTGTTTCTTTCCCACAAAGTGCTGCATCCTTTCTTGGTTCTGCTTTCTGCAGCAATCCTCGGTGGTGTAAGATCTGACCTGTCTCCATGGAGTTGAGTGCTAACTGTATCTCACAGGCTTTTAGGACTTTGGAGAGATCAGAATCAAAAATATTTTCTTATTAATTTTGATAACTGAGACATAGCACCAAATATTATAAGCTAAACTAAAGGTTGTGAAGAGACAGTCACAGGGAAAACCATGCACTGGTACTGATTTGTTCCACTTGCACTTCAGAGCATCCCCAAGCCTGGGCACAAAAGAACGGATTCAACTCACAGTAGCAATGAATCTGAATATACTTTCAGCTCTGAGATCACAGAAGCAGAAGACTTACCACTAAGGATGGAGGTAATGTTAAAAATCCCCCACAACTTTTCACTGATACGTGGTTGAACTCATTCCTTTCTCTTTTTTTTTCGTAAGTGCTTCTGAACACAATATCATCATACTGAGATATCTAAAGCTTTAATCCAACTTTCGCCATTTCCCGATACGTGGTTGAACTCATTCCTTTTTCTTTTTTTTTTTCATAAGTGCTTCTGAACACAATATCGTTGTACTGAGATATCTAAAGCTTTAATCCAACTTTCGCCATTTCCTTTTAGAGAACACTTATTCCTTATTTAGTTATGATCCTGTGTAAAAAGGCTGTCAAAGTTGCTTTGAATTTTTCTTGTATTACAATAAGCATAGAGTAGATACTTGGTGATCCAGCTGATTTACATCTGTGAAACATTTGGTTGTCAGTGTTGGTAAGCACAATCACTTATTCAGGCCAAAGTGGGAATTCCGAGAACCAGTGAGACTTCCTGAGGAGCCTGCCTACTGTATGGTTAATGATTTAAAATGGCAAGCTGCATCCTTAGTAGCTACATGGAATGAGTTTCCTGTTGGGGGTGAGGAGCTCTTGTTGGATCAGGTTTTCTCTATTTCATAGAGAGGAATCAAGCTCCCAGAATGGGTGTTTCCTTTGCATGTGCAGCAGTACAAATCCCAGAGTGTTTGGAGAAATGATCAGGAAGATGTCCAAAAATGTTCAGAAAGATGACTTGATTCAGCTAATGAATAATAACCATAAATAATTTGTGGTGCAACTCCAAGCCATTGCTAATAGTTTCCAAGATAACTCCTCCCTTCAGCCCATCCCATCACAGTGGGACTGCAAAGACAGAGCCCTCAAGGTGGATGTCTGGCTGTGCTTGGCACTTTCCTGAGTTAAAGTTTTCTCTGTGCATCTCCTTACCAGAGAGCCAGGGCACAGCACACCCTGTGTGCCCTCTGCCTGGGTTAGGGATCTGCAGAGCAGCTTTTGGCAGGCTGTCAGTGCTGCTTTGGAAAGCCTCTGCAGAGAATTATTTTCTCCTCTGGATGCAAATACCCTGCTGCACTGGGGCTGGCACAGCCTCTCTCTGCACTCTGTCATCATCTGCCTTCCCACTTACGTTTCCCACCTTGCATAATGGTTTCAGGATGATACTCCTACATTCACAGGTATTCAGGAGGACAGTCCATGGGATGTCACATGTGAGCCAAATGCCAGCTTTTCCTTTGGCTGATAGACTTGCTGAATTACATCGTTGGGACTTTACTGAGAAATACGTGGCACTGTGGAGTGCTTCAGGGCAATTTTAGCTCTGTTCCAGAGCCAGCTTTGGGTTTTAGACTATAAATGAAGAAATGAACTCACACAAGAGTGTGAACGAATGCAGCACTGTTTTTATTTAACCCCTCAACATTCTCCAGTTCTGACTCTAAACTAACAATATAGATTAATTGTACAAAACTGCATTAAAAAATTGGGCCCACCTCAAGGCAAACAAGTAAAGCCAGAAAACTCAAAAGTCTCTTACCTTTTGCCTGAGCTGTTGGTGTGGTTTATGACTCTTCCCCTCAACAGTAAAAGGAGATGAAGTGGAAATGGCTGTGCTTGCTTGTCTGCTGCAGTCATTAATACTAATTTTCTAGTTCCTTTTATAGGCTTTAAGATTTTATGGTACAGTTCATAGTAAATACTTTGATCTTCTCAGTACATAAAGTACAAAAAGGCTGATGAACAATTTCTAATGCTCCTTCAGATTGCAAACACTGGTCCTTGCCCAGAAAATAGTGAAGAAGCTGGTGAATTAGGCTCAAAACAGGCTGTATAATTAGCACAGTAAAAGGAAAAAGGCATTAAATATATTCTCTGTTACCAATTTTTTGTATCACATCCCACTAAATTAACCTTCAAATTTCTAGAGAGATTTCTCTTTAGCTAAAGAACTTACTAAAGAAATCATTGAAAACTAAACCAACAAACAAAAAAGCCCTTATTTACAGTTGTTTCCAGGTGAGTCTAACCACAAACTTTTTCTTTTTTCTACTTTCCCCCTTCAAACAAGTAAGACTATAAGGTATGCTTAGTTATAGACCTCCTGTCTGCTAGGTAGTGCCTAGTGCTTTCTTTTGCTAGGCTTTAGGCTTAGAAACATTTTCTACTAGTAAATCCTTTTTTTTAAAATAGTGTTTGATAGCTGATGAAATACTTTAGATAGTCAATGCTCAGAATCAAGTAACATTTCTGTGTTCCTCTCTTTTTCCCCAGTCTGTTTCCCATCTTTACTCACTGTTGTGCTTCCTTGTGCTGTGGAAGGGGAATACCTCTTGACTTCCCTCTGTTTTTCCTGCAGCAGGAGCCTAGTGAGAAGAAAGCAGCGCTGGACATGTCTCTGTTCCTCAAGCTGCAGAAACGGGTTTCAGAACTGGAGCAAGAAAAGCAGTCCCTGCAGGATGAACTGGACAGAAAGGAAGAGCAGGCTCTCCGTGCTAAAGCCAAGGTGGACTCCTTGCAGCTGATCACATGCTGACACCAGAGTCCCTTCTTGTGAAACAGTAGCTCTGTGAATGCTGACTGGCTTTCACTAAATCTTCATCTTCCTCTAGCACTCGCTTTGTTTAATGATGAGTTTCGTACTGGAGCTTAGTTCTAGGGACTGGTTATTTGGTTTTCCAGGGTCCTTGAGATCCTCTGATGGAAGACAACAGGAACAAAATGTGCTTGGAACTTTGCTTTAAAAAAAAGAAAAGGCTGAAAGGCTGTTTTTATTAAGGAGTAGCCATAAGGAAATAGACTTAAATGATGGAGAGAATGGTAATTGTTTATTTTAGGCAGAAGAATGCCTAACCAGGATGCCTAGCTAAAGCACTGGGCTTAGACACCTTAGCTGATTGCAATGTAAATTCTCCTGATTTGGTCTCCTTAAGTTCTTAAAAAATTATGAAACTGGTTTTGGCAATTGTTTCTTATTATATTTCTACCAGTGAATTTCTTTAGCGTGCTGGGGTTCATCCTGCTGTGTTTCACTGCCAGTGACAGTATGTGATTTTATTAATATTAACCTATTATGTGTCATAAACTCAGACGTAAAGGAGACAATGCCAATATTCAAACTACAGCAGTTAGCAGTACCAGAATGAGTGTTTTACAGTTTTAAAGGAAAATAATTTGAATTCTCTTTGTTTTTCTACCTCAGTGAAGGATTTTTAGTTTTCACACTTCTTTGTATTTGTTCATAGGAGGAAGAAAGGCCTCCCATAAGAGGTGCAGAGTTGGAGTATGAGTCGCTCAAGGTAATTCTAAAACAGAGGGTTTTGGGGTTTTCTAGTAGGAATCTTGCCACCAATTGTATGTGCTGGCATAGAAAATTACAATAGCCGTCCTGTTTCCAAATAGTAGCTGGAAAAATTAGAACAAATTTTCCCCAGCAGTCATTTCATTGTAGGACTGCTCTTTTTGAGGTATAGAATGTGTGGCTGGGGATGCAAAACAAAAAGATCCCCTAAGCCAGGGGGAGTTTTCTATTAAAATACTTAGTACAGCTTGCAAGTTAATTTGAGCAAAAATACAGTGATAAATGTAGGTATCTTTTTCAAAATTATTATTGATATTACTGCATGTCTTAGACCACTAAAACCAAAAGTATTTCCTAATAGTGATGCAGAATTTTCTTAGCCTGCTGACCACTATTTGTTGTGAACTCTCTCTCTTTTTTTTTTTTTTTGCTAAGGGGAAAATAAGAGGAAAAAATATTGGCAATTCTGTTTGCCATCAAATCTGTCTGATCCATGTGAGTGTGCTCTGGTTTTGCTTTTCAGGCAGAAGGTTAGTCTTGTTAGTGAACTCCTCCCAGCCACACTGACCACAGTCAAGAGGCCAGGGATACAGGGCAGATTGATGGATTTCTTGCAGCTACACATCATTTTTACCATTTCTGTCCATAGTTTTGTGCCTGTGGGTTACAGACATGTAGCAGTGCTGCTGGGTGACAGAACTGTCCCTGTTTCTTGCAGCGTCAAGAGCTTGAATCTGAGAATAAAAAACTGAAGAACGAGCTGAATGAGCTGCAGAAGGCCCTGACAGAGACACGAGCTCCAGAGGTGACTGCTCCTGGTGCCCCAGCATACAGAGTCCTCCTGGACCAGCTGACCTCGGTCAGCGAAGAGCTTGAAGTACGCAAAGAGGAAGTTCTCATCCTGAGGTCTCAGCTTGTGAGCCAGAAAGAGGCGATTCAGCCCAAGGTAAATCGCATCAGCAGGTGCACTGGGTGGGAGTTACCTGCATCATTAACATGCTTTGTTCATTAACAGCCCGCTTGAAATGGCAGAAGGAAGCAGTCTAGGTTTGGAAACTGTTCTAAGTGTAATCCATTGGTCCATTGTTAGTGCACAAGTCACAGCAGTCTGAATTAGGAGCTTGTATTAATCAGCCAGTCTGGGGTTTCTCTACCAGCACTCGTGTGAAGATGTACAGGCTGTACCAAAGGTCTGATCCCCCAGACCTCTTTAACAGTGCACAAATAATTCTCACTGGGAGCTGTGTCATTTCTCTAGTGCCTTTGGACTGGAAAATTGAAAGGAATTGTCAGGAATTCCTTTCAATTAATAGTTGAGCAAAAGGAACAGTTTGTTCTACATCTGTATGATTGCTAGTCAGTAACATTTTGTAAAGATGACCTCTTGAGGATATGTAAATATTATTGCTTGATAGGTGCTATGTGCTTTTGTAGAAAGAAGAGCAGGTTACAACCACTGAAATACACATCACATAAAAGGCTCTGATGACATAGTTAGGGAAGTAATAGCTTTGCAAATAAGAATCATTCAACCTGAAAAGGTATCATGTAAATCAAGGAACTAGTAATTTCCACTGAACTGAGCTATCCTGTCTTTCATAACTGCAGCAAGGAGTGAACAGATATGTCATCTTTCCTTTGCTGCTGCAAAGTTATGTCTCTATTTGTCCTATGTAAACTGGGAATCTGTGGTGCATGAAGATGTATAAGTCTTGTTTTAAATGATTGACTGTAAAGAAAACAGAACACATTTTTCTGTAGTATTTAGAACATTGTAAAGAAAAACTTAGTGAATATTTCAATAACTTTCTCAGCAGTGGTACGATGCAAGGGTTGATTTTACAGTGGCTGTGAGTATGAGGGAAATAGGAAGGTGACCTGTGGGATGGCCAGCAGCCAGTTTGCAGATAGCTTCTGCTTTTCAGGTTGGGCAGCTGCAGCAAAGACAGATTTTTTTAATGTTTTGTTTCTCTTCTTTCTTGCCTACCAATTTGGTTGCCAGGAGGATAAGGTACACATTTTCTTCTACAGTTACAAACCAGAATTTCTAAATGCTAAAATAACCCTCAACAACATTGAGCTGTCATTAACCTGCCTCTTAAGTAGCCTACATGTACATCATGCATTTTACCTTGCTAGTATTGAATACCTTTTCCCTTAATTCTGTGACCTCTGCATCCCCATCTTCATGCTTTGCACAGGGAGACAAGTTAATTCAAAACAAGCAGATTTAACAGTTTTGAGCTGTTGGTTTATGACAACCTGAATATGAAATGAAGGATTTAGAAATTGGTCAGCTCCATCATGTTTCTTGCTGAGTATGTTTGAGGGGTAAGGACAGTAATCCAGGGAGCCTTGTGATCTGGGAACCAGCCCTCTGTTAACTTGCAAACCCCTCATATTTCACAACAAATTAAGTGTCTGTGGTATGAAGAAGTACCTTACTTTGGATTGTTTGCTGTCCTCAGCAAGCAAGAAACATTGTGGGCTCACATTGTCATCTCTAGATATGGATGGGAATTGCTGAATGTTTGATTAGAAAATGCAGTTGTATACGTGTAAGAGTATAAGAAACTGAACTGACTCTAAATTATAGATGTTCAGACTGCTAAAGCTTGATAGATTGGCAGGTGAGATACAGCAGTGTTACTCTGTAGTAAATTAATAGTAGAAAAACCTCAAAGGTCTCATAAAGATGTTTGGAATAATTCTTTGAGAAGCTTACATATTTTATTGTTTTTCATACTGGGTAACGCAAATCATACTAGACATAGAGATCTAGGCTCCATCATTTGTCCTCAAAGCTGTTATTGTAAATACTTTTCAAAATTGTGCTCATGAAAACAGCATCTGCTTGTTTTGAAAGTCAAAATGTGAGAATTCCATCTCTTGTGTTCATTAAAGCCTTGTGGTACTCCATGGCAATGACTCAGATCAGACTGGCCAAGGTGTCTATAAACAGCTTAAGTATTTCAAGTTTTACTGAAGAAAAAGCAAAAGTGTCATAATAAACATCGAAAACTGAAATAAAATTGGTACTATGATGCTATCTAAAGTAGAAAATCTCAAGCCCATGTCAATTCTTTTCTGCTTTGACAGAGTATTTGAAATACATGAGTGAGAAATAGTTCTTATTTTTGAGCTTTGAAAGACTCCATGTAATGCTATGTTTAAGAAATGTTAATAGAATTAAGCTGGCAAAACTCTGCTGCTTCAGTTTTAGTATTAGCAGCTGTTCCTGGTAATTTGAATAAAATGCAAATTCAACATTCTGTGAAATTTATTTTGTTCATTTTATGTGATGAACAAATGGAAAGAGATTAACATATGTGCCCGCTTACTGTAGGAACCCAGGACATTCCTCTGGCTGCCCTGGATGACTCGAGCCCCTGGCAGGGGGCTCAGAGACCTTGGCATGGAGTCAAAAACACCTGTGGCTTTGATTTTAGCCCATGGAACAAACTACCAGCTTTGTGTGAAGATTTACAAGCCACGAGAGTTTAAGTAGAATGATAGCTAATTTGTCACAGGGTGAAAAGGTAGAATTTTGGGGCTTTAGAATGGGGATTTAGGAAGCAAGATGGAGGAATCTGGGCATGGTCTGTCCTTCTTCTCCTTCTTCTTGGCCTCCATCTTCTGCTGTGATGGTGGCACTTTTGGATTGGTTTAGAGTAGAGACAGACTGTCTAACATAGGTGATAGGTATTGGAAAATTATTGTAAATAAAGTACATGTAGTTTTGAGTATAAAAAGATAACACCGCTCCAAGGGCAGCCAGTGTGCCACACACCGACCTGCCAGACAGAGCTCCGCATGCTGGAGAAATAACATACTAGATAAGAGAAAATAAACAACCTTGAGAACCAGAGCCGAGGAATTCCAACTCCTTCTTCGACCATCGGGCTGGGAAAAAGAGACTTTCTGACATCTCGGGGTCATCTCGACCGCAGAGACCCCGAGAACTTGCTAGACAGACCAATAGTTGACCATTTTGTGTGCATTAAATTTAAAAGGTGAACCAAATGGACACAGAAATTATGGAGCAACCTCTTGCTCAGGTACCCACACTTATTTAATGTGGCTGCTCAAGTATTAGTGTTGCACATGAAGAAAACACGGATTCAAGGAGCAGTTATGTTGTTAAATTTACTGGAAATTATCATTCTTTTTCCAGCATACAATGACAGATGCCACAATCCTCTTGGAGGATGTACAGAAGATGAAAGACAAAGGAGAAATAGCACAGGCTTATATTGGACTGAAGGAAACAAACAGGTAGGAGTTCTTTCTTTATTTTGTGATCACTTGGGGTCTGCTGTGACACACTGTGTATATTGTGTTGAGTCAGTTCCACCCATGTCTGCATAGAGAACACTCATAGCTGGGGTTATAATTTGATTTCATTAGTAAAATTGTTGTGTGCAATATTATAAAGGATTTGGAAATAATGGGGACATGTAAAATCAAGCTTTCTGGATTTCCAGCTTCTTAGCCTCTAATTGCTGCGTGGCCCAGCCTGGGTGCCATTCCTCAGGCTGGTTTGTCACCCTCTGAACCTCAGTGGTCACAATAGTCTGTGGCAATGTGTTTGTTGTAACAGCACAGAATGCTGTAACCAGCTGGGCTGTCACTGAGAGCTGAATTTCATCATGCAGAAGAAAAACACATAAACAAGAAAAGTAATTTGCTAATTTTAGAGCGTTTTTTTGTTTCTCTTTTATGGTAACTGTAATATAGTGTGTAATGTCCTTGCCATGTCACCTCATCACCATCACATATATCTCTTGTATTTTTTTAAACACCTGTCTTGAAAGGCAATCTCCCCAGGACTATCATATGCTGAATGAGGACGGAGAACTTTGGCTGGCTTATGAAGGGTTAAAACAAGCCAACAGGTTACCAGACTTCTCAGAATGGGTTTTTTTTTCCTGCATTTGCATCTTCTTTTCTAGCTAACTGTGCCCCTTGCTATGGGTTTGCTTTAGCTACAGTACTTCTATTGCTTTAACAGTTAGAAAAAAATTCAACACAAATTATAGAAATTAAGGAGTTTCCTCAAACCTAGTCCTCAAAGCTTCCTACTTGTCAGGTTTTATAATTTAAAAAGTTTGAGATGGCACAGCAGCCAATACATAATTCATAAGAATTCTTGCACAAAAGTAGACTGTAAAATACCAGAAGCTCCACAGCTGGAAAGTATTTGTAGCCATGTACTATTTGTGTACCTTTACACCAGGTTTCAAAATTAATGTTCCTTGCAGTTTTTCAGCCTAAAGAAATACAATCATTTTAGTAATTATTAAACTATTGTTTAAGTAGCATCAGTGTACTCTTAAATTTCAAACTGAAATGGGTCTTACTCTCCTTGTGTCTCAAGGTCAGTAAATCAAACATTCTTCTCCCATGTCTCTTCATGCCAAATTCAAAATGTAAGTCACAAAATAACCACAAAAGAGAAGTAATCTTTAGTTCCTTGTGATGCTGTTGAAGCCCCAGTGGGACCACTGTGGTTGCTGCAAGGACTGTGCTGGTCATGGGGTGCTCTGGCTCTGTGTGCTCGTCGGTGTCCCTGACTTCCAAAATGCTTCCTAGTCCTGCCCTGACACCTAATTCACTGCACCAGCCCTCTGACGTGCTCCAGTGAATGCATTTGGTAGCAGTGACTACAGAAAGTGGTATTTTGCAATGACTGCTATAACTAAAGTCTTTCCTTTTCTGGTGCTAACATGTTCTACCCCTAACATTGTTGTGTGCCCCTGTGAAGATCTAACCTAGAGCAAGTGTTCTGCAGCAGACAGGATGGGAGTTGGTTTGCTCTGTGCCTCTTGCCTCTTGTCCTGGCACTGTAAAGACAAGAAGTTTTATATTAAATGGCAGAGCATTGCAGGTAAATGACTATTTGCCCTTGTGTGCTTCATCAGTCTGGTTACTACTAAGTGTTCCTGCCTTATGCATATTTAAACCCTGAAATATTGTCTAATTGAACAGTGGTAGTCACTAGTATTGTCATTTCCTGTGCATGTACAAAATTATGAGTCAGAGCCCTTGGACAGTGCCTTGCAAGCAGGAGTAGAACCCCAGCACTGCCTGGCAGGAGGCTGGTACATGTTATCCCCACTTCACAATGAGAAAAACTTGAGATGTGATGTGCCCAAGGGGAAAGAATGAGTTAGTGGTGAGGGTAAACCTCCTGGATTTCAGTCCTGAGTCTGATTCTGTTGTTGACTTTTTGTGCATTAAGGACAACCCTCTGAAAAATGTTGGGTTTAATGCAAAAATAAAGATTATCCATGTGCATTTGCAGTTAAATGGTTTCTGACTGAAAAAGTTAACTCTAAAAATATTTTTCATTGCAAGGTACTAACTTAAGTGAACGTAGTGTCATCTTCATCTAGGATTATTTGATTTGTTTAGAGGTAAAACCTCTTTAAAGCCCCTTCAGTCAATCTGAGAAGACTTAGCTTCACATTTATTGCCACAGTAGCACCCTGTACAGTCAAAGGAAACACAGGGCAGTGTCACAATTAGCTTCTCTCTCTTCACTTTTTGATCATGCAAGCTTAATTTAATTAGAAGGCATACTAAAGGGTTTAAAGAGTCCTCTGCCTTTTTCATTTTCCTTTGCAAGCCATGGCTAATTGTTCCTGAGCAGCAGCTAAAGCTTTACACTCCCTCTGAGAACTGGGGATGTAACTTTGAGCGTGCTCACACAAAGTGTTGCTCACCCTCCTCAGGCTGCTGGAGTCTCAGCTTCAGTCGCAGAAGAAGAGCCACGAGAACGAGCTGGAATCGCTGCGAGGTGAGATCCAGAGTCTGAAGGAGGAAAACAACCGGCAGCAGCAGCTGCTGGCCCAGAACCTGCAGCTGCCTCCCGAGGCGCGCATCGAAGCCAGCCTGCAGCACGAGATCACCCGGCTCACTAATGAGAACTTGGTAAGAGAAGGGAGGCTGCAGGAGCCACTCACACACCTGCCACACCTCTAGGTTCTTATCATTTTTCAGATGGCAGCTTCCTGCAAAAAAATTGCACGAGGGTGGTGGTTTTCTGGAGGGTAAGCTAATGGGAGAGAGAGGCTTGTGATTGCTCCTGAAGTAATAATGCTTCAGGAGATTGGTTTGAAGTTTGGGGCATGGAGGAAGCTTGTGGATCCCAGCTTCCAACTGGTGAGTTTAGTCCTGGCTAAATAGAATGTTGATGTCCAGGGAAGTCATAAAAACTAATAATGCCAAGGAGGGGCATTATTCATATTCCCCTGAAATATGTTAGTTTGTTTATTTCATTGAAAAACTCTGATGTAATTCTTTAATCGTTTAATGTAATTTATCTTTCCATTTCTCTCTTCCCTGCCTAAAGCTACACAGATAATCCACCATTTTATGAGCTCCAGCTATTCAGTATGTTTTGAAAAAAGAAATAGTTCCATAAAAAGAAACTTGGTTAGAAGTCACATAGCTAATAAGTGGTAGTCCATGTGTGTACTGCACAGCATTTTTGTATGAAGGAAGAATTGGGCAAAACTCTCACCTTCTTCTAGAAAGGAGTATGTTCATCCTATGTGAGCTACTTCATTTCTGGGGAAATCTTCCAGAGAGACCTGTGTTGGCATATATTTGGCTTGTTATTGGTAAAGGGAAACAAGCTACTTCAGCCAGAAAAATCCTGGCTGTGAGTGTCATTGCTTCCTCCAAACAAGCCAAGGTGTAGTGTTTCCTGTTAATGTACATGACAGAAGTTGTCACTGTTGGGGTCTTGTCTTAATACCAACGATTTTGAGCAAAGTATCAGATAATTCAGCTGATACATGTTGGAGAAATGGCTAAAAGTGTAAGTTTGCCCCAGCAGCTGCAGTCTCTCACAAAGGTAGATGGTGAATATTTCTGTCTCAGCAGCTCCCTCCTGCTGCTTAGTCATATGTTACAATTTTTAGCCATTTTTGCCCCAGAGACCTACTCATCACATTGTGTTCCCAAGACAAGACACAGTCATGTAATTATATCCCAGAGGAGTTCTCTTTGTTTTCAAATACACTGAATGTAATTTTACTTGTTAAATATAGACTCGTTCCTCAATGTTTCATGTCAGATGTTTGAGTATTGCAAGTCCACTCCAAGCCAAGGGTATGTTTCAGTTCCACTCTTAGCCCTGGAGTGGAAACAATTTGCAGCTTTCCAGGTGCCATGTCAGAATTGTAGTGTTCACTGCAATCCCATCTTGATAAGCATAGGAAAATGTCCTGTCCCTGTTCTCACAAAGGTTGTATTCCATGCTCTCACAGTCCTGGTGTGGCCCATTTTTAAAAGATCTGACTGTTCTGCAACTCACCTACATCAGCTTCTCTCTGAGAGCTGCTGGCATGAACACAAATAAGGCCTAGACTGCCTAAAAACAGATGATTCTTGATCTTGTTGTATTCTGATTTAATCTGTACAGTGCTCACTGAAGTTTCAGTGGCACAGAGGGAGGGAGAAAACCAATCCTGTCCCTATTTTTGCAGTTTTATGAGGAGTTGTATGCAGATGATCCCAAGAAGTATCAGTTGTACCGGATTTCCCTTTACAAGAGGATGATTGTATGTAGCTCACGTGAACCCTGTTTTCTGTTGTCTCGGTCTCTGTTTCTGAAGCACTAATTGAAAAGCAGGCTGTTTCCTTTTCTCCCTTTCAGAGGAAATCCCCTGCAGAGAGCTTCACGATGCCGATTACTTCCTTCACTGCTTTTTTTGTTAGTCTTAGTGTCCTTTGTGTAATCTGTGTTTCTTTTTGATGCACAGTTTTGTTACTAATACGAGCCTTGCGCTGTGAACAAAGCAGTTTCTTTTTGAATACTACTTAATACTGCCCTGGAAAAGAGGTACATGATGCAAAAGATGTTCAATTTTCAAAACTATTCTTTATTTTGAAACTTGGATACATTTAGATTCAGTTCAGAAAATTAGAGGACTGATCATACAGATCCTTACCAAAGTGAATAATGCCAGTAATCCAGTCATAGCCTGGATTTATTGTTATTTGAATATTTTTCAGAAATGCAAAATATGAAGAATGACATTGGTGATAATATTTTCACAGTAATTAAAGACAGCACCATATGTGAGCTTGAAAGAATATAATTTATGAGTTTTCAGATCTTAATGAGATGTGAAATCTGTTAAATTGGTTTAGGGGAAGCATAGAAAGAACTTTAATCATCCTCACGTAGAGGTTGTTCTGAAGTCATATCCCACCCCTGATACATTCAAAACAGTCTGTCAAACTTAAATGTATATTTTTGTTAGTTTCAGGAGAAATTGATTTATCTGACAGCAAGTATGTAGTGTTATTAATAGGATTTCTGTTGTGAAATTGAACAGTGCTTTGAATGTGAAGCATGGCCTCCATTCTGTTGTCAACAGGCCTAATATCTTACTGCTCAAGTATGTTGTATCAGCTTGTAAACTGTTTTACTACGTGATTAAGGTTTGTGCCCATGCTGCACTGAAATATTTCAGTACTTCAGAAGAGTTGTACGATGTTTTTAATGCAGGGAGTTCACAATCCCTTATGTTCCTAACAGTGCCAAGAATAATCCTCCTGCTTAGGAGATTTTTCTTCTAAGCTGCTTTCCAAAACTTATCCTGGAATAGCTTTCAGGTTGTTTGAGCTTTGGGGTTTTGCTTTCTTTAGCATGACTTTCCCTTTTTTAATTACACAATTATTTTGTGAATGTACTACAACAGATATGTCACAGAACTATTCAAAGATAGATTTCTGGGGAGTGTTCCCTTGAAGGACAAATACAATTTGCTAAAAGAATAGGACTTTTAGGTGCTAGATGTTATTCAGTTACAGAATAAAAACATGTAGGAAACCAGTTTCAGTGTAAGGAAATGTGATGACAGCAAGAAATGGTGTTTGGATGTTTGATTTGGTAAATTTGAGTGCAAGTTAAGTGTTTCTCTGTCATCCTCTGGTAACATGAATAGGTCTGAATAAGGAGTCAGTCATAAAGACAGGAATAAATGATGCAGAAATACGGAATAGCTGTTTAATAATAAAGAAAATAATTTGTGTGAGGCATTTGGAAGAGCAGGGAGGAAGCATTAGGGAAATGTGTTTGCAGCAAAATATCTTCTGCTGTACAAACTGACCTCATTCTGAGTGTCTGCAGAATCTGCCTGCCTATGAGCTTTGCCTTTCTCATGCTGCATATAACTTAATAATATTTGCAATATTTGGCTTGTGTTATAGGCAACGTACCAGCTTGCAACCCTTGGCCAGAGGATGGCACTTCTGTTCAGCTTTCCTCACTGCCTCGTAACTCTATAACAGCACTGGTTTTGTCTCTGTCACACGGTCCAGGATTGTCCCCATATCTTAATCTTTCCCTTATTTGAATTTACAGGATTTAATGGAGCAGCTGGAAAAGCAGGACAAAACTGTTCGCAAGTTAAAGAAGCAGCTGAAACTGTTTGCTAAGAAGATTGGTGAACTTGAAGGTACTTCTATGTTTTGAGAGAGAGATTTTGGTTTACTTTGTGATCTGGTTATCATCATACCCATCTGTTTTAGCACTTGTGAGGTCTTCAGTAGCCTTAGCCTCTGTTGATTGCAGAAACAGGATGTATACTCAGACCTCTGTGTGTTCCTTGATGAACATTTAGAAGGTGAGAAAAGGAGATTTATGTTTCTCTGAAGGCAGAAAGTATTCAAACATAAAGGGAGGTTTCCTCCAGTGTTTGTGAACTCAAAGACAGTATCTGGTTTTGCCAAGAGAAAAGCAGTACTAAATATGAACCAGGCAAAAATTAGTTACCCAGTTTTCCTTTGAATGTGAAGGTTAGTTAGTCCAATTAGGTGTTTATTTGTTTTGTTTTGTTTTGTTCTGTTTTGTTTTGTTTTTTAATCTTAAAATATTGTTCAGTCTAGATGTTTATTTGTTTTGTTTTGTTTTGGTTTTTTTTAATCTTAAAATATTGTTCAGTTACTTTTCTGGACAAGACCATAGTAATGTTCATACATAATGCAGAGTGGGAAAATTCTCCTGAAAATATAGTTTGGTCTGTGTTTATTGCCTAATTAACTTAGAAAGATGCAGTAGGTCTGACTGGGATAGAGTTAACTTTCTAACTAACTAACCATAGCAGCCTGTGTGATGCTGTGTTTTGGATTTGAGTCTGTAACACTGCTGGGAGCACACTGGTGTTTTGGCTACTGCTGAGCAGAGCTGGACAGTGTCAAGATTTCCTTTTTTCCCCATTCTGTCCCCTCAGTAAGCTGAGGTGGGAGGGCACAAGGGCACACAGCCAGGACAGCTGATCCAGGCTGGCCAGAGCAATATTCCATGTGCTGCACCTCCTAATGTCAGGAGCCACAGGAGGGGATTTTCCACACTGTTGTTTGAGACTGGCTGGACATCAGTTCCCTCAGGGAGGGGTTTTGTCATGGGTGATTGCCTCTGCTCTTCTTCCTGTCCTCCCCAGCCCCTTTTCCTTCTCTTACTTAACCACCTTTTTTTCAACCAATGAGTTTTCTCAGCTTTGCTCTTAATGTTCTTTTCCCTGTCTTGCTGGTGACAGGACTTTCCTAAGGAATGTTACAGAAATACCTCTGGCATGTATTAGTTTCACTGGAAAATGTAATATTTCTTTCCATTCTCTCTCTGAAGTGGGCCAGATGGAGAACATATCACCTGGACAAATCATTGATGAACCTATTCGTCCAGTTAACATTCCACGGAAGGAAAAGGACTTCCAAGGGATGTTGGAATACAAGAAGGAGGATGAACAAAAACTTGTCAAGAATCTTATTTTAGGTAAGCATCTTTCTCATTTGTGGCCTTCTCTGCTTCCATACAATCTGAAAATTGAATGATAAGAAGACAGAATTTGCATTAGGAAATGCAAATTAGGAATGCTTATTTTGTTTTTGACAGTGTTCAGTTTATCTACCATTCCTAAATGTGTATTGTAATCTAATTGTCCTTCCTGATGAGTATAGTACATATTAGCATGCCTGCATATTTTAAACAGGCACTTATATTTTCTTATTCTGTTATTTTACCAAGAAAGGGGCCCTTAGTTTTGCTCTGAGTTTTCACTGGCCAAATACATATATATATACATGTATATGCTATTAACTGGGGAGGTTGCAATTACCTCATATAACATCTTCCAATGACTTGACACTTAACAAGACAATGTGTGTTTGTTTTTCCCAAGAGCTGAAACCACGTGGGGTAGCTGTCAACCTGATTCCAGGACTCCCAGCATATATTTTGTTCATGTGTGTGCGCCATGCAGATTACCTTAATGATGACCAGAAAGTGCGGTCGTTGTTGACTTCCACTATCAATGGCATCAAAAAAGTGTTAAAGGTTAGTTAGTCTGCTTAGTTAAGAAAAAAAACCCATTAATTTTAAATTTGCTTTTGGTTTTATGTTAGGAGAATGAGGAAAAGGCTTTCATTGAATTGGCTCTGGGTTTGTCATCAGTGAACTGCCACTAAAGTGCCAAGAGTTGTGTTAAAAAAATAACAAATTACATTACTGGCATTTCATCCCTGTAGTAGCAGAGGTGCATTGAATTAATGGGAGAAGAACTACCTTTTTGTTTTGAGTAGTCTCCCTCCTATGAAGTTCAGCTTATAAAGTTTTGGATGTAGTTAGAGTTTGCAGAGTGAGTCTTTGTTTATCTTCTCCAGAGCGCTTACATAAACAGTTCCATTTGCAGTTTTGGTTAACAGATTCCTCATTTGCTTCACCTACAGATTACACTGATGATAATATGTTACTGCCTAAAGTCTTTTCAAGGAGTTGGCTGAGAGAGTTCAGCCCAGGTGTATCTTGAAGGCATTATTAAGACATGAACATGTTTTATGCTTACATGGTTTTTTATTTTTTAAATGAGAGAGATGTGTCAAAAACCAAGCCTTTAATCAAACTACAATTTTTGGAAAAATACTTAGTAAACAATCCTGCAGGAGCTTAGATATCAATAGAATTTTTTGAACATTTTTAAGTGAAAGAAGTGCACACTGTGGAGCTGTAGAACCATTCAGCATACACTCAAGCCTGTGTTCTTTGGTGAGAAGGGTTTGTTGTTTTTGTTTCATTTTCCATTTCAGGCTGCCAAAATTGTTGTGATATAAGTGGCATTCATCAAAACTGAATTGTTTCCTGCTCCTCCTGCTGGCTCTGTGTCATTCCAGTCTTCCCCACTGGGCTCTTCAAAAGAGTCATTGGCTATTTTGGGAATACAGTCACATTGCCCTTTGATTTCTGCCCAGAGCAATTAGGATGGGTCTGTAAAGCACAGAAAGATCATCTCTGTGGAGGAAATCATATTTGTGAAAAATACTAAGGAAAAGAGGGAGGGTGTTAAATGGTACTTTGCCAAAACCCTTGTTTTCCCAATACATTACTGTAATACACAAAGTTTTGCAAAACATCAGAATGAGGATCTACTAGAAAGTGTACTTTAAGCATTTAGTTGTGTATCTTGCATTCTATTTTATTTCTCCTGCCAGTCTTTGCTGAAGTGTGTTTGTCTTTATCCAGAAAAGAGGAGATGACTTTGAGACAGTGTCCTTCTGGCTGTCGAACACCTGCCGATTTTTGCACTGTTTGAAGCAGTACAGTGGAGAAGAGGTAAGCAGTGCTCTTATTCTGGTTTATCTTGCTCTCCAGTCAGCACTGCTCTTTAACAAATCTTGTACAAAAGATCTAGTCATAGTCTCTTAAAATGGCTAGACCTTTTGGAATGATGGTGACAGCATCAGTGGAAAGCACAGGGATGTAAGATTTGAACCAGCTTCCCTTTATTGTGGGCTGGGACCCAGCGTCTAGATGACATTGGGCTCCCAAAAGGGCCAGCTCAGATTGAGCAGGAGGATCTGGCAGCTACCATTATGGTTTTTAGCAATGATTCACTCCTCCCTATCAAAAGGGCCATATTAAGCCTTTTAGCCTTTAGTATGGCAGACCAGTTGATGTTTGGAGGCTGTGATATGCCAAATTCCTCTTTCAATTGGGCTTAATTGGGCTTTTGACCACAGCTGGCCTGGTGAAAATGCCCATGCTGGAGAGAGGAGGAACTCTTGCCTGCCAGAAAGCTGGTAGAGTTGTTCCTGTGTCACAGACCTGAAATTTTGAGTTAAGGAAGCAGATGCTGTGGACATGACACTTGAAAAGTAAATCCTAGCATTGGCCTCAATCAGACAAAGTTCCAAACTAAAATTTTGAGGGGCTGTGACTTAAGGTATTATTTGTCAGTTGCATGAAAGAAAATGCAAATACTGGATTTGTGTAATATTTTTGTGCTCTACTGAAGCATTAATTTCTGTTATTTTATGAATGCAGGGGTTTATGAAGCATAATACACCTCGTCAAAATGAACACTGCCTCACTAATTTTGATTTAGCTGAATACAGACAAGTACTGAGTGACTTGGCTATTCAGATCTACCAACAACTTGTCCGAGTGTTGGAAAATATTCTGCAACCAATGATTGGTAAGGCAAAGTTGAAATCCTTAAAATTCACAACACAGTACCAAAATTAAAATTGTGATGGTGGTAGTAGATGTATCATGTATTTCTTCCTAAACAGTAGAGTTTCATTACATCTCTGGTGTTCTGTTCAGAGATGACAAGGACTATTCTGGACAGGTTGGATTAGAGGAAAAATAAACTGTGACTGGTTCTTCTGGCAGTGCCAGAATAAATTGGTATACCTTATTCATGCTTGGCATAAATCAAGCATTTGCAGGAGGAAGCTGTCAGGACAATCTGATCTTTGTTACCCTGTCTGTTGGGAAATATCCCATGGAAAAATTAGACTTTAATTACATGAGAACTCTTAATTGAAATTAATGTGGAAAAAATGTTTTGTTGTTGTTATTGACAGCAGTGAGGAATTAAATCACAAGTAGTGGTTAAGCTAACATTCAGAGAGTTGTTTTTTTTTTTATTAAGAATACTTTTCATTTTCTGTTCAGACAGTACTCCCACAGAAATTTTCATGATGCTTTCCAATCACAACATTTAAAAGAATGGAGCAGCTCTCATTTTGCTGATTCTGCTGCTCATATGACTCTAGGAAGAAAAAAATACTTCCCTGAGCTAGATTCAGACTGTCCTTTTAAACACACGGGCTGGAATCTTTGTAAAAACCCCGTGAACTTAGATTTTGCCAAACATAGTGGGACACACCGTTTCTGTAAATCATGGTAAACTGTGGCTAGCAGAAGGCCCAGCCTGCTCTCCCTGCTTTGCTGTCTTGCCTGACATGCTTGTGTGTCAGCAGTTGTCAGCCATTGCAATAATGGTGCCAACCAAATGCAGTTTCAGGAATGCTGGAGCACGAGACCATCCAAGGCGTGTCAGGGGTGAAACCGACAGGGCTGCGGAAGAGAACGTCCAGCATTGCTGACGAGGGCACCTACACCTTGGACTCCATCATCCGGCAGCTGAACTCCTTCCACTCGGTGATGTGCCAGCACGGCATGGACCCAGAGCTGATCAAACAGGTGGTCAAGCAGATGTTCTACATCATTGGGGCCGTGACGCTCAACAACCTCCTCCTGCGCAAGGACATGTGCTCCTGGAGCAAAGGAATGCAGATAAGGTGGGACAGCTTGTTACAGTGCTCTGCAATGCGCTGCTGGAAATCTTACTGAACTCTTGACATTGCTGAATATCATTTTGATGGAGTTGCAGATACCTGGAATATTTATTTTTCCACATGCAAACTGGTGCAGATGGTGTTGAACTGATTTGGTGAAATTTGGTTAAAAACAGCTTAGTTGACTTTGGCCAAATCCTACCTGACATTCAAGGAAATATAGTAGAAGCAAACCAAAAAGTGTTTCATTATCAAGTGGGAATCATAACTGTAGGTGAAATGTTGGTAATTGCTTCCTCAGCTTTTAGAGAAGAGTAGCAAACATGCCTGCTGCTTTCTTTTGTATACTGGTGGTGCAGTGGATACCTCTTTGTCTACACTAGTTTTGCTGCATCCTGAGGTAAAGCCTGAATCATCTCCTGCATTTCACATCACTTGTTCAATGGATTTTACTGGCATATGTCAGGAAATTTAGCCAGGGCATTCCAGTCCCTCAGGTTACGTCCCAAACCCTCACTGTACTTTAACATGGGCAAAATCTCATTTGCCTTTCTTTTATCACATTCATGCAATTAATAGGAACAGAAACAAATGGGAAAGACTAGCTAGTGGAAATCTTTGTTTCTAACATTTTTCTTTCTAGTGCATAGTTTCTAACTGTTATGAATGTCAAAATCCCTGCCTTAACTGGAAGAAAACAGTGTGAAAACAAAATAATAAAGCACATAAGGACAAAGAAGCAGCACTGGGAAAGAGAAATTGCACATGCTTTCCATTTATCCATAATCAAGCATTAATGTTCTTGATGCTCTCACCTCTTTGTACAGATACAATGTGAGTCAACTGGAGGAATGGCTACGTGATAAAAATTTGATGAATAGTGGGGCTAAGGAAACCCTGGAACCCCTCATCCAGGCTGCACAGTTGTTGCAAGTAAAAAAGAAAACAGATGAAGATGCAGAAGCCATATGTTCAATGTGCAATGCACTGACCACTGCCCAGGTGAGCAAATCCCCACTGTCTGTCTGAGCAGCTCTCTGCTCTGTTGGTGTTGCTGTCTCTGCCAGCACTGCTGTCACACATGAATTGGAGGTTTCTTACTTGGTTTTGCTAAAACAGATTAAGTTGGAGGGGTGAAAAAAGGACCAGATTCTTTTGAGTCTGATGTTTGAGATAAGTTTTGAACAAATGAGAGGAAGCTCAGTAGATTGTGCAGGGTGCAGTGCTGTACACAGTCTCTCAGTTTTTGGAAATCCTTACAGAAAAGTCTTCATTCAAAGACATCTCTGTACTCCAGACAGCTCTGCCTAGGGTAGTAGGAGTTGGTCTTTCTGCCATCAGAGTTGGTATCCGGCCAAGTTGATGGACAATTCAGACAGAGCTGTTGTCTGTGAGTCTGCAAACAAGAGTGTGAGGTTACTGTACCCATCAGCCTCAAAGGCTGAACCAAGTGGGTCTCAGTAAACAGACTCCTATTTATGAAAGCTCAGATTTCGTACAGATACGTTGCACTTCTTTTTCAAACCATGCTACATTTGCATAGAGGTTGTACAGGAATGAATGGACCCAAGCATCTTTGATGCTTACTGAACAATTCTCACCAGGAAAAGGAAGAAATTTCTCTTTCTTTCACAGTTGTGGCAGCACTATCAGTTACATTAATAAAGCTGTTTTGATTTATTAATTCACGTTACTGGAAGGTCACTTAGCATTCTACTGAATGAGAAGTTAGAATTCCATGTGCTGTGTTTTGACTTTTAACAAAATGTTTTGGTTTTTTAATAAAGGGAATGGTAAAAAAACAAAGAGAATTTTTAATAGGTTTTTTCACCCATATTATTTTTTAAAGTCTTTCTTATGTAATTCTTTCCTTTGGTGGTATTAGCCCTGTTTTTAGAGAAATAGCTCACTCTCTTGAAAAACAGAGTTGTAAGACTACAGGAGGTCATGACTACAGGGTAAAAATTAGGGTGAGAAATACATCATGTTTTTGGGGGTGGGTAGGAAAACAGTCAGCTACTTCTCATGTGATTTTTCCAGCATTTGGTATTTTCATCACATATGTAGAAATTTTGGGTTTCTACGGCATGTGTTCTGAAGGAGGCAGTCATTTAACATAGCATTGGGCAGGGTGATGGAATTCTGCATTAATCAATAAAGCAGAAAAATAACAGATACTTGAAAATAACTTTCTTTTTTTAAATAGCTAATTTTAAAATTATTAGTACTCACAGATGCATCTGTTGATTGATCAGTAATGTGAACCTGAAAGTGATTGTTCTTTTTCACAGATTGTAAAAGTTCTGAATTTGTATACTCCAGTTAATGAGTTTGAAGAGAGAGTCTTGGTGTCATTTATACGTACAATACAGGTATGTCTATCTTTTCATCAAAAACCATTTGACTATTTTTAAGAAAATAGATTTTGACTATTTTTGACTATTTTTAAGCCTCTGATCAGCCAAAATTGTTTGCATCCTGAAATACATTGAGGAAAATTAGTTAAACTGTGCTTTTTAGCTATCATAGTTTAACAGCATTGAATAGGTGATGTCAGCCTTAAAATGTGAACAATCAGAAGTTCCTGCCTCCAGACTTACATGAAAGTGTTAGTTTCCCTGTCACTATGTATGAGGTTTTTAGGTGAGAGATTTTTGTGCTTATTCATCTTTGTGTATATAAGCTCACATAAGTTGTGTGTGACAACTTTTCAAGCACTAAGATTTAGATGTGCAAATTTACCCAGACCTGTGTCTGTATGTGAAGTTCTGTGCTTTGAAAACTGAGGCCTATTAAGAACCAAAGTTCTTAATTTGCCCCTTCTATTTTTGTATATATTGGTGAAAATGAAAACTTTTGAAAACTCCAAAGAGAAGCAGCCAGTAGAGCAAAATTAAAGAAACAAACATGAAATTTCGGATCTATTAGAAATTGAATTACAGTATAGCAAGATAAGGGAAATTGGGAAGGTAGAACTGAGATAAAGCTGTAATTCCACTTACTGAAAAGATGGTTGCCAGACACTGAGCAAAATCTTCCTTTTGCGGGAATCTAAGTATTCCCAGATTGCACTGTTGAGGGGGAGATGTGCAGAACTGAAGCAGATCAAAGTAACTGCAGTGTAAAGTCACAGTTGGTGTAAATGTGTCAGCTCAGGTTAGCACAGAGTGTGTTTGCACACGCGCGTCTGTGAGCACAGATCAGCTTTGTAAGGTGGCTCTTACCAGTCAGCTGGCTAAATGTCATCTCTTTCTTGTCTTTGCAGGTGCGTCTGCGAGACAGGAAGGACTCTCCTCAGTTGCTCATGGATGCCAAACACATCTTCCCTGTTACTTTCCCCTTTAATCCATCCTCTCTGGCTTTAGAAACCATTCAGATCCCAGCCAGCTTGGGCCTGGGCTTCATATCACGTGTGTGATCCCCAGGATGTGCCGTCAGTGTTAGATGGAGAACAGTTGCCTGATATCTGTACCTGTTAAAACATAGTGAGCCACTAACCCCACGTTTTCTGAACAAAAGCCTGTCTAAGCCCAGATGTGTAGTTAAGGTAGCTGGGAACTGCACAGCAGCACCACAGGCTGAATGCTCCTAGAAAGATGTGCATTTGTGCTCGGTCACTGCATTGATGAGGACGTGTCCAGAGTATGGAATTTGTACGTGTCCAGAGTATGGAAATCGGGCTTGGACAAAAATTGTGTCTTCAGCTGTCTAGAGACATTTTTAGATCTTTAGTAACATATTTAAATAGTGTAAATTAAAATCCATATGTAATCTTCTCATAGGTGGGGACCAATAGGGACAGTCACAGTCCTGGACATGGAAAACTTGAAAGTAAGGCATTTTGTAGAATACACAGTCACGTGGGAGCCTGTTACATTTAATTTGTAAAAACTGAATGGAAAAAACACAAACTGGCAATATATAAAGTTATTTCTTAAACCACTTCCTCATTTATGTCAGTTTGACATAAATTGTAGTGATAAGTCCTATAGCTCACTATATGCTCTAACTTAGGTGTTTATTTGTTAGAACTGTGGTTTACCAAGCAAACTAAATTGCTGCTGCACATTCTGTTGTTTTAAATGTATGACAGTATCATACTAAGCACTAAAAATAAGACACTTCATTTTTTTGTTGTCAACCTTATTTACGGTCTGTTGCAGTCTGTTATTTTAACTGGATTTTTGCACATTGTATCAAGTAACACCTGTAGAGGAAAATGGTAACTAAGCACAAGTAGCACACTGGAAATTACACATTTAGTTATTTTTAAAAGTAGTTAGCTAAAAATACAGAATCTTGAAACAAACCATCAGAAGTCAGTAATTATTTTAGTATTTATTTAGGTTACAGAGTCTGTCTAATGTTCTTTGTTTGTAGACCCCAGAGATGGCAATGTGTATTTTGAGTATAATCTCTTGGTTTTTTGCTACTTAAAAAAAAAAAATAACTACAGAGGAAAGTCTTCTTTCACACTGGAATATGAAAAGAAAAACTTTAATAGAAAATTTCTGCAGTAGCCCAAGGCTCTCATTCTTAGAAAGGTTGACTAACAAGAAAGTTAAGTAGGTTTTGACTATGATGCTGTCACTTGACTATGATTCATGCTGATTTAATGGTTGGAAATCAGAGTGCATAATGAGAAACTGAGTTATTTTGAATGCTGCACATTTTACTGGAAAGATTTTTCTGTCTCGCACATCTTGGATCTGCTATATAAAACTCACATTTCACAATGTGAGGCATAAGCCTGGCATAAGGTTCCAGTTCTGTGGTGGATGGCTCAAACATACATGTAAAAATAAAGCCACACACATTGCTCAGTTGCGTTGTGCAATATTTTTAATGTATTATAATAATCTGCATCTTAGTGTTAACATTAATTTATTTTACAATATTGATAAATAACCTAGAGGTACACTATTAGACTGTTTGGTGCTCCTCTGTTTGCCTGCAAATTCACAGAGAAAAGATTTGCTGTTAAGCAGACTGAAACATTTCAGTTTTGTTTTACTTGAAAGGCAGACGTGCTGGTTGTGTGGTTGCTAAAATTGGAAATAAAGACAACATAAACTTTATCATTTGAGGATGCTCCTATCATCTTGCCTTCAAATGGCCCATATTACATTTGATGGATCATGCCAGTACTTCCAAGAATTTGTACTGCATTGTAAAAAGGTTCTGAATGATCTTTGCTAAATGACGTAGGTTTTCCTCTGCACCTATACCAAACACTCCTTTTTAAACGTTGCTTGATTTCTGAAATTCTGGCTGCTGTGAAGTGGCTGCAAATAAGGTGTAAGGTCGTTTTCAGACTGTCAGGTACTGTACTTGTGAGAATGTAATGGCAAAGCCTTCGCATCCAGTAACAGGGTTAGGAAAGAAAACACAGGAGAACATGCTGACCTCCCAATTTTTTTTCTCCTATTGAAAAACAAACAATTGGCATTACAGTATGTTCATACTGTAGATCAGGAAATGTATCCACTACTTAAGCGTCAGTGTTTAAAATGTATGCCTAAATGTATTTTTGTTTATTTTTGAAGTTTGTTTACCTGTAAAAAGCCTTATTGTATCGTTTCCTTAAAAAAAGTAGTGTCTAGTAATTTATAGGTATCATCCTTAAACTCAGTGGTTTGACTGGTATTACTTTTGTATCACATTAAAAGTATATGCTGCTTGACATGTTTTAAAGGAAAATATTTTTGAGTTGGAATAATGTGTAGTTGGTAATTCATCTAACATTTTACATGGCAGTATTTTACATGCACTTTTCAGAAGTAAAATTTTAGTGTGAGTGTATAATATAACTTTCACCTTAGGACTAAAATCTCTTTAACCATGGAATATAATGCAGAATTATTTAAAGAACTTTTTTTTTTTCCTTTGAATCATTGTTATGCTCTTTTAATGTGGACATATCTTTTATATTTTAATTTATTATCTATTGAGATGATAGATTTTATCAGATGCTGGAAAAATACTTGTCAGTGACCCCTTAGAAATATATACAGTTATTCTACAGATTTTGCACAATAATTACCTCATTCAGTTTGGTGTATTTTTATTCCAGTGATCACTTTATTCTGATGTTTAGGACGCAGTCTTCTATCCAAATTTTGAAAAATGCTTTCTCACACTTCAAACTGGGATGGAATATGAAAGTGCTTAAGTCAGTTAACCGAGATGAATCTGTTACAGGAAAAAGTAGCATCAGCTTCATTGAAAGTGGATTGATATCCAGCAACATTTGTTCCCAACTTGGAAACACCAGCAATTGCAATTTGAAGGTCTATATGTAATTTGTGATTTAAACTGAACACATTTCAAATACCATACTAAAACTATGAGCAAACACTTGGGTTTTTTAAGATGCTGATACTTCATGCGATGAGTAAAAGCCTTTAAACATAGGTTTTCACTTGATGCCACTACAGTACATAGATGAAAAACAAAACATTGTCAGAATTACCTGAGCTCTGATCTGTTGTAGTGTCTGATGTTGTACTTAGTAAATGTATGCATCATAAAAACTGTAGCCTAATAGCTATCACTGGAAAATGTCCAAATAAAAGTACAACTGTACAGTTTGTTTCAGGGTTTTTTTGGTTGGTTGGTGGCTCATGAGCTGCGTGCTGGCATAGACCCCAGCTGGTCACAGGGTTCCCTCTGCCTCCATGGCAGGCTTGGTGTTGACTGCCAAGGGAGTTGGTTAAAATCTGAGGATGTGTAAATACACACCCAGATAGCAGCAGTGTGCCATAAACTGCTGTGCTTATGGGAGAATGCTTTGTTCAACATAACCCATTTCTGGTTAGGGTGTTTTGTTGTCTGATATTAACTGTTCCTGAAATAAAATTTGAGTAACTGCACTAAAGCATTCCCTTGTGTGCTATGGAAGCTCCTTGTGTCTGGTGGGTCTTGGCAGGTATCCACCTGCTAAAACACGGCACTGTGGTTATTCAAGTCTTCTTCCTCATAACTTATATTCAACTATAGCACCCGTTAGCACTTTAAACCTACTAAATGCACTCAGAGTTGTTAATTTTTATCTTATTCTGAGCTTGTCATAGAAATTCCTTTACAGCGCTTTGTAGGGCGGTGATTAATGTGTCTGTTGGTTCTCTCTGCTGGGTCAGGACTGCTCCCTGGGGACCCTCTGGCAGCCGCAGTGTCCGTCATTCCCGCTCCCTAAAGGTGTGTCCGAGGTGCCAGGACGGTGACTGGGAGCACGCCCAGCTCTGGACGGACAGAGCCGGGATCCCGCTGCCCGTGGAGGCTGCTCCGCCCGGCGCTGCCCGCTCTGCCGGGCCCTGCGCTCAGCGGGCCGGGCGGGGAGCGGCGAGCGGGGCAGGGCCGCTCCCCACGCCCCGGGGCGGGGGCCGGGCCGGGCCGCGGCACCTGCGGAGCCCTGTCCGCACAACCGCGGCTGTGCCCCGATGGCGCTGGCCGAGCTCTACACGCAGGTGAGCGGGGCTGGGGAAGGGCCCAGGGCAAGGGACCGTGTCGGCTCCGCCGGAGCGGGGCTGGGGCTGGTCCGAGGTCAAGGGACCGTGTGTGCTCCGCCGCAGCGGGGCTGGGGCTGGCGAAGGGCTGAGGGCAAGGGGCCGTGCGGCTCCGCTGGGACTGGCCCAGGGGAAGGGCCGTGTGGGCTCCGCAGGAGCGGGGCTGGGGAAGAGCCCAGGGGCCGTGAGGGCTCCGCCGGAGCGGGGCTGGGGCTGGGGCAGGGCCCATGGGAAGGGGCCGTGCGGGCGCCGCCGGAGCCCTTCGTGCCCGCGGGCGGGGGCACAGCGTGGAGCCGCCCTGCGGGACACCGCACACAGGGCACCGTGGGGAGACACTTCTCTTGGAGAAAAACACTCCTTTTGTGAGAGTCTCGGCCTCCGGGAGCAGGTCTCGCTGTTCTAGCCAGCGATTAGGCGATGTGAAGGTTTAACTGCCCTTCCCTGGGCACTCAGGCTCGGGGCGCCGCGCTTTCTGTTGGGCAAATATTGAATGTGTGCGGCAGAGCTTGGCCCTAAAGCAAAGATTCTTCCTCCTTAATGCGCCTGCTGAAACTTTTGCACAACTTTTCCCTCTTCTCCTCTAGTCACCGGAGTGTTGTGACGTATCGTTTGTTTGCTTAGCTTTAAATAGCAAACCAACAGGGATATGTGGGTGATTTGGTGAGCCTGTCCCTCATGTGTTGCAGCAGCAGCGGCTCCCATTGAGCCGGGAGCTGCAGGGCTGGTGGGTCCTGCTGCTGCCGCCGCGCTCGGAGCCGCTGGGAGAAGGAGCGCGGTTTTCCCAGGAATGTTGGACAGGTGAAAGGGGGAAGGAGTGCGGGTGTAACCTGACACGGAAATGAGCAAACTCCCGTCTGTTTACCTGCGAGGCAGGGTTTGGAGACAGCCAACTCTCTAGGCTGGGTGCATTTGCCAATGGAGGCTCCTGCAACTCCAGGGGCCTTTCCTGAAGAATCTGTGCTTTTATCACATTCTCCTCCCTCCCTTGCTCGTCCTTGACCTAGCGCAGTTCATTTTCTTGCATGGGAACACACTGTGTGCCCCTGAGGCTGTTTGGTGGTGATATTCTAACTCACAAAGAACAACAGCAAACAAAAAATTCAATTTAGCAAGCACTTTTTGTAAGCCAGGAGGAGATCAGCATAGTGTAGGAATGATACAAATAACAATTTTTAGTTGGATAAACATGGAAAACTCAAATGTAAAGCTAATTTAGCCATGTCTTTCATGTGGCCATTACATAGAAACTTGTGGAGCTGGGCTTTTGTACCCTTGGTCAGATAGATGAAAACATTACCATTGCAGTTGTTTGGGGTTGTTTAGAAAATGTCTTTGTGATTTTGGATATTGTGTGAAAACTGCCATCATGCTGAAAGCATCAGCAAGGAGGTGTCATGGAAGCAGCTGAGGTTTCCATGGTTGTTCACCCCCTGATGAGCACCAGGTTGGTGTGTGGCTCACTAGAAGGGTCAATGTCTTTCCTTAGAGATACTGAAAACTCAGCTGGAGAAGTCCCTGAGCAGCACAGGCTAACTCACAGGACGTTCTTGTGCAAGTCCCTCCTGCCCTACATTGTTTGGTGGTGATTCTTGGGGTTAGAATTAAGGCAGCTACAGCTGTGCAGTGCAGCTTGCAGGGAGCTCTGTAGGCACCCACCTGCAGGCTCAGTGGGGTTCTTGGGGCAGAGCCTCTCATGTTCTGAGGATCTTGGAGCTTCCAAGGCTCCTTCCAAACTGGAGAGGAAAAAAGTTGTTTGTGCCAAAACCAACAGTTGCAGCACCAAGAGTAAAGGGAATACAAGTCCCCAAGGGATCTGTGGGTCTGCTCACACTCCGTGAAATGGTGACTAATGTTAATTTTTCAAGTAAGCAGCTGCAGCAGTTCTCACAGGTTTATTTAAACAGCTTGTTTCAACTGACCATGAATATAGCTAGGGTGAAGGAATTAAGGGAAAGGTTTTGGCTATCAAAATAGAAAGATGCTGGAAGAGTACACATTACAGTTTATTGTGTGAGTAGGGACAACGATGTCATTTTGTCATACCCTGTCAGGATGAGAAGGACACACTCCACATCAGTAAAGTAATTCCCTGCTAACTGAGGTTTCCAGCTTTGTTATATCCTTTTAAGGACTGTTGCTTCCCATAGCTTCTCAGGCAGAGAATTTAAAGAAGTTGCTTTTGCTTCTGCATTTTAACTTCATCATAGGAGAACTAAATGGTTCAAACAGCATAACTTACATTCAAATATTTTTTTCAAATATCTATGCTGCAGTAGGTTACAGATACCTTGCTGGGATGGAACTAATGTATGCCAGTAAAGAAACCAGCCAGTTTATTTGAAGTCTTTGAAGTTTGTCCTAGAGCAGGGAAAGATGTTTGGACGTTGCACTTCAGTCCCATTAAAAGAAGGGGAACTGTGCAGTCTTTCTTAGGTATGACAATGTGCCTATGGCAAAATGCATTTTGATTTCAGTGTCCTATACCTGAATTCAGGGAAGTGATTTTCTATACCTGATTGTCTGAATTCTGGGAATGAGATGCTTTTTCTGGTACTTGCTTATTTGAACCCTC